TATGCCACGATGGCTCTGGTGCTAGCCAATGCAGTGTGACAGAGTTCAACGAGCTGAATAAAGCTGAGGACGTTATCTTAGTCTTTAATTGATTTACATAAATTTTCCAGATTTCCCCCTAAAGTATTCTTATACGTTACCATTCCATTTATGATGTCATACTTGAATCGCTGGGTAACGATATAGACTACTGGCTATGTGAATATGTTTTAGTTGTTTATGACCAAAGCTATTACATTCTATACCCCAGAGCAACTGTTCCACAGCGCCACAGCCGAAACAGTCTGCAGTTCGAGATTACAATGTCTTTCTAACCAACTTAAGCTTGCCCACCGACCCCGCCCATCATGACCAGGATCCTCACATCTGCATAGCTGACATGGGACTATGTTATTGGTTCCGAAGAGCAGGGTCGTCTTGGCTAATCGTGGCTTTGGCTGCTGTGAGTATCTGCAGCACGAGATGCAACGCTAGCTGTACCACTCACAGATCTCTCAGACCTGTGCAATTGGGAGCTGTGGCTAGCAAGCCTTCCCCGGGGTACTCGTGGTTGGGATTTTCGAGGCAACGATACTCATATGCCAGACAATCACAGTTGCTATAATAATGAGAGGCTTTTCTCAAATAATGTTAAATACATGTATAATTTCGCAGTAAGTTTGGAGATCTCTGGGAATATTGGGATCGATTACGGTGTAGAGTACCTCGGAGTACCTCGGATGGTGGTGATGAGCGGAGCCGGAGCTGGTGCGGAGACCATCTAATGAGCCAGAGTGTCTCAGAACATCATCTCCCATCCCAGGTACAACGGAAGTGGGTGTCTTGAACCTTCCACGTAACGGTCTTCTCAACCATCCCAAAAGCTGGTCCACCACATCGTGGGGTGTGAGTGGCAGACAATGTGCGACCGGTGGATGGTGAACCCACCGAGAATTTCTCCGCACGAGCGTCGATGAATGAGATGTAGCAGCGACTGCCCCGCGGTGCCCATCAATCGAGGGGCAGATCAGCCAATTTCCTGCGCCCCTCTGACCTCTCGAGCTCCTGATAAGGACACGACAGCTCCTTCTCTCACCAACGTTCCGAACACACCAAAATCCACCTAAACAACCAGCATAATGGCCAAATCCGCCTCCCAGATTCACCGCGCCTGGTGGAAGGAATGCTCCGTTTATCAGATTTGGCCTGCTTCTTACAAAGATTCCAACGATGATGGCATCGGTGACATTCCCGGAATCATCTCCAAGCTGGACTATATTAAGAATATAGGTGTGGATATTGTTTGGTTGTGTCCTTCATACAAATCGCCCCAGGTGGATATGGGCTATGATATTGCCGATTACTACAGCATTGCGGATGAGTACGGCACGGTCGCGGATGTCGAAAAGCTCATCCAGGGGTGCCACGAACGGGGCATGAAGCTTCTCATGGACCTTGTGGTCAACCACACCAGTGATCAGAATGAGTGGTTCAAGCAGTCGCGCAGCTCCAAGGATAATGAGTATCGCAATTGGTATGTGTGGAAGCCGGCCAGGTATGATGAGCAGGGTAATCGGCACCCGCCTAACAACTGGGTGTCGCATTTTCAAGGTGAGTCCGATGCTTTGATTGAGGTTATTCTATATTCTCAGTGAGTGTTCTGACGCACTTTGTAGGTAGTGCCTGGGAATGGGACGAGCACACGCAGGAATACTACCTCCACCTCTATGCGGTAGAACAGCCCGATCTCAATTGGGAACACCCGCCCGTCCGCAAGGCGGTTCATGATATCATGCGCTTCTGGCTAGACAAGGGCGCGGATGGATTCCGCATGGATGTCATCAACTTCGTCAGCAAAGACCAACGCTTCCCGGACGCTCCTGTGAAGGACCCTCGTACCCCTTGGCAGTGGGGAGACAAGTACTACGCCAATGGGCCGAGACTGCATGAATACCTCGCAGACCTGGGCAAGATTCTGAAGGAGTATGACGCCTTCAGTGTCGGCGAGATGCCCTTCGTTAGAGACACCGAGGAGGTGCTTCGCGCTGTGCGCTACGACCGGAACGAGATCAACATGATTTTCAACTTTGAGCATGTGGACATTGACCACGGAACTTACGACAAGTTTGAGCCCGGAAGCTGGAAGCTTACTGATTTGAAAGCTTTCTTTGAGACGTGGCAGAAGTTCATGTACAATAATGATGGGTGGAACGCCCTTTACTGGGAGAACCACGATCAACCGCGGTCGATTGATCGCTATGCACAGGCAAAGGAGGAGTTCCGCACGGAAGCAGGTAAAATGCTGGCGACGGTTCTTGCGCTGCAGTCTGGTACGCCGTTTGTGTACCAGGGTCAGGAAATTGGAATGAGGAACGTTCCCATTGAATGGGACATGAATGAGTATAAGGACATCGACTGCCTTAACCACTGGCATCGGTATGATTTCTCTTCTATACATGTCGAAACTATTTACTAATTGTTCTCAATGATAGACTTCTTAAGTACAGGCCCGATGACATCGAAGCCCAGAAGAGCGCCCGTCAAGAGTACCAGAAAAAGTCTCGAGACAACGGCCGCACACCGGTGCAGTGGTCAAGCGCACCGAACGGTGGATTCACCGGCCCCAACGCAAAGCCTTGGATGTCCGTCAACCCGGACTATGTTCGCTTCAATGCTGAAGCGCAAGTCAATGACCCGAACTCGATCTACCACTACTGGGGTGCCGTCCTTGGACTGCGCAAGAAATACCTCGACATCTTTGTTTATGGCGATTACGACTTGGTAGATAAGGACAGCCAGGAGATCTTCGCGTACTCTCGTCAGTATGAGAATCAGAAGGCTCTGGTTCTCACTAACTGGACTGAAAACACACTGGAGTGGGATGTTACTGCCAATGGCGTGAAGGGAGTCAAGGGCGTCGTTTTGAACTCATATGAAAGCGCAGAAGCGGCGAAGGGGCGGTTTTCGGGACAGAAGTGGTCTCTACGCCCGTATGAAGCAGTTGTTCTGTTGGTAGAGGCTTAAATACTATGACTGAGATGAAATATGCATAGGGATTGGTGATATATAGTGCAGCCTTTAGACGGCCGCCAAATGAACATTCTTTAGTTCTCATTACACACAACGGTATTTTTATATAATATTAGTCTGACAGAATGCTGTGCTCGTGACTAGGATAGAGCCCCATGACTAGCTCAATAACCAAACATCGAGGCATATACGGCAAGTGAAAGAGCCTCCATTCCATACTCTGTTACTATTAATAGTCCGTTTCCCAGGACACTGTGTACTACATTGACGACCATCACACGAGTTGCTTGCCTCCCCGATGTTTTCTCTTGTGGGACATAGATGAAGGACTAAACATGTCCTTATGTCCAATGCGACTAGACTGTATGCGAGCATCTTAGCTCAATAAAACACTACACGAAGGAAGCCAAGTCCATGTTATTCATCAGACGCACCACAGATCCACATACCCAGACCATGTCCACCTCATCTCTATTCACACCTACCATTCAATCCCCCCATCAACACCATTAACCAACATGGCTGTGCTACTCTTCACTATAGACCATCCCGTGTCTTAAACACCCAATCTCCATCATGTATTCACATCAACAACACTATTCAAATACCCTGATTCCCCCAGCATGACCATTACTCTCTTCCTTCCTCCATCATCCTCCTCTATATCCCCTTGGCCCCATCAGTACCTTATCACCAAATCCTATCCTAAAATCCACATCCAAAATGAACCTAACCCTCATCCTCGCGCTCCTCGCCACCCTAGCAGCCTCCATCCCCGCCGACGGCCCAAGCTTCACAGACATCTGTAAGCCCAGCCCAACAACCTAACTAACACATCCCACCTTGGCACCAACATACTGACTTACCAGACAACCCCCAGTGCCACAAGGACTCCGACTGCGGCACTGGATGCTGCTACAACGGTCTCTGTCTCGCCTACTGTCTCCTCAACGAGGATGACGTTCACACGGAACTAGTCCGCAGTTTCATCGATGGTAGACACCTCCCTCAACTCACCCACACTGCCATACCAACTCACTAATACATGTCCAGAATCCCGCCTCCACACAGAAGGAGACATAGACACCACCGCCCCGGTCTGCCACACGAACAGAGACTGCGGGAACGGGTGCTGCTACCACGGCCTGTGTCTCGCGTATTGTCCGAATGATATGGCGAAGCGGGATGATGGGGATGCTACTTGGCGTTAGTATTTTCTTCTCTCCTTGATTTTACTTCGTGGGTGGGATGTGTTAGCTGACGAAAGTTGGGTGTGATAGAATCTCCTGGCAAACCGCCCAGGTGCAATCGCAGGACTTGTAAGGGTGGATGTTGCCGGAAGGGGCTTTGTACGTATTGTTATAAGGATAAGCGGGATGATGGTGTTGATGATGATGGGGAGTATGGGTATGATTTTGATGGTGATGTTGGTTTTGATGTCTACGACGATGACGGTCTCGATATTTATGATGATACCGACGACACAGCATCAGCGCCGGAGATGCATAAGAGTGAGTGCAACCCTACTTCCTTCCTATGAACAACCGACTAATAAGTTCAGGATACTCCATGCCTGATATCGACCTCCTCCCCACCTCAACAGACATTATCCACACCGACGGCATGTGCAGCAAGAGAACATGCAAGGGATGCTGCTGGCAGAATGTCTGCATGGCGAAGTGTCCTCGCGGTGAACCGTACAACGCTGTAGACGATGGTGAAGGATTCGAGGCCACTTCTTCTGACCTAGTGGACTGGAACCTCCCGCAAGCTATCTGCAGCCGCACAGCCCCGTGCAAGGTTGGTTGCTGCTGGCATGGGCTGTGTTGGGGGTTGTGTCGGTGGAAAGGTAATTAGATCATATTATGAGAGAATTCGGGGAATTTGGTTGGTAAATGAATTCAACTGGGGACCGACGAGCAAGAAGGAGTGCACTTCACTGATTGGTTATTAGTATGCTTTGGGACGAAGTAATCGGGTGATGGTGCTGTAACTCAGTACTTGGTATTGGACTTGGAGTCCTTCACGACTAAATGAACATGCATTACATGCAATCTTTTCCTTTGTACATGAGTAACTATTCCTGAAGTGTTTAACTATCGTAACCTCATATCCATAAGATCTCTAGCATACACCCCCGATCACCAAACCCCAACCTCCACTCACAGCATCCAAACCCCCATCACAACCGGAATCAACCCCCAAACCCACCTCGACACCGCCAAGCTCCTCACGCCCGCACTCGTCATCAACACCTTGGGCTCATACGCCGCCGGCTCCGTACTATTCCTCGTCCCATCCCAGCAATACTTCTCAAAGCACCGTTCACACACGTCCGGCACCTGGGTATTCGTCCGATCAAACGAGCGACTCAGAATAGCGCAGCCCGCGCAGGTCGGCCAATCCTCGTAAGACTTCCTCGACCCGTTACCCATCGTAACCACGTTCCAGCCATTAGTGATCATCTCGTCACGCTCGGAGATCTCGTACTTGAGCTGGAAGGTTGATTTGTTCGAGTACGTCGTGTATGGGTAGTTGGGGAGGTAGACGACGAGGGGCGCATGGCCTGTGATGTTACTGCTATTGCAGCCGAAGAAGGTCGGACGGGTGTTCAAGCCCTGGTTGATGAAGGTGCTTTTGTCTGGAATGCTGGGGAAGGCAGTGCCGTTGCCGATGCCGGTTGAGTTGAGACTACGTTCGTAGGTGGCCACGAGGGGACTGCCGTTGGGCCAGTTGTCTGAGGTACTGGCTGAGGAGTCGACGGCGAAGATGACGTCCACGTTGCGGGCGGGTTGGATGAGAGGATGGAGGGGGAGGTTTTGTTTGTCTTCGCCGCCGTCGACGACGTTCAGGTCCGGGGTCTTTTCGTATGAGATTGTCGCGTTGCGGTACTCATAGAAGGGGTTGGGGGAGTAGATGGCGATGTCATCGTTGCGGTCGCCTAGCTCTTCGAGGATGCTGGTGAGGACCGTTTTGAGGGCAGATGGGATGTCGGTGGTGTTAAGCTTGAGGATGAATTGGTTGAAGAGACTGGAGGAGGTTCCCATGACGAAGCCGGCGTTGTCGAAGCCGCGGACGCAGGATCGACCGGTTGGGACTTCACCGTTCTCGAAGTAGGAGCCGAGGTATTCGAGGGGGGCGAAGCCGAAGATGGATGGATCGAAGCTGCCGAATTCCCAAGGGTTGAACTCGTATACGGTCGAGTTGCTGCCGATTAGGGTCTCGCCTGGGTTACGGCCGTCGGCCACGAGGAGTGGCATGGGCATGTTTCCGTTCTGGAAGTCCTGGGTCAATGCGATCGATGACCAGGTGTAGCCGGGGCCTCCGTCGGTCGCGTTGATGAGTTGGTAGGAGAGTGCGCGACCCCAGTAGTCGGTGAAGGAGGTGTTGAAACCAGCGTCTTTCTTACCGGCCACGACCTTGGCTAGGTCGCGGTAGTACTTGGCTGTATCCCAGGCTTGCAAGCCGTTGGTCTTGGGGCCTTTCGTGATAGAGTTCTGGAACTGCCAGACTTCGCCCTCTTTGTAGGTTTGTAGGTTGGAAACGGTGGTGAAGTTGTTGATGTAGATTGAGCCCAGGAGCCAACCACCTCCGGAGAGCCCGGACAGGTATGTGGCTGACTGCAGAAGACCACCGAGCTGTCCATTGTGTGTTGAGTTCTCTGTTCGACTGTCGAATGCTTTGAGTGCGCCGGCGCCGTTGGTTAGGGCTCTGTAGCCACCGCCAGATACGGCAATACCGATGTTGGGGATGTTGGTGATGTTGGACGAGTGGCTGTTGATGTAAGAGACGGCGTCAAATGAGCTCATGTTGATGTGGCCGAAGAGGTCTTTCATTGCTGAGACGGTCTGCTTGCGTCGGACGTCGAGCCATGCTGTCTCGTTCGATGACAGGGTTGACGCGCTGCGGATCGTCGGTCTGTTTGCAGGACAGGAAACATTGCTCGGGGTATAACCGTCAGGGGCATTGTCCAATGCGCGAGGTGAGACGTCTGCAAATGTGAGATCGGCGGTTGTAGGAACAGCGACGCCTCCTATGACCGAGTCAGCATGGGTTAGTGCTGCATGATGGCGGTCGAGATAGGAGATATACCTTGGATATACTCCAGGGCGGCTAGAGCCGTAAAGAGTGCATTAAACTTCATGTCTGCTCTGGGTTGCACCAAGTGACACGTCTAGCATAACACAGACTCCAGTGCATGATGAATGAGGGTGCTCCGCAGGGATTTATAAGAAATTGACGAGCGGACCACACCATTAGCGCTTATTTATTACCAAAATCTCCGAGCACATAATCGAGCACAGCAAAATCTGAGGTGGCAGGGTCAAGCCAGGCAAGGCGCAGCATGTAGACATTGTCGGCCCTGACTTGTGCTGCCAGAGATACTACAGAAGACTTTGTTGTAATTACATTGTGCCCCGTTCAACTAAGCTAGTGCAGAAACCCCGTCAGGGTCCATGCAACGGGGAATTCCGATTGGAGGGTGGTGTCAGGCAGCAGAATAATATTGAGACGATCTAAAATAGTATCTTCCTGTGTGGTTTCATTGGCATGGGCATAGGCTCAGCCCTACGGGGCAGCCCGCAACTCAGACCCTTCCGGGTTTCCGAACGAGGAACAATGTTTGGGTAGATATCCGTACGAAACCTCTACAATGGCCTCTGGTGAGATATGACAGGACATCAGTGGACCAGCACAGCCACTGAATATTTCAGTCAGCGCATATCCTGCATAAACTACAGGGTTCTCGGAGCAACAGGGCGAAATTGCTGGCTGCCAAGACTCTATCAGCAACAGGGCTGGAGTGGAGACCCTCAATTAGGCAACTGCGTCGTTCCAACGGTCTATTATGGTTCGTTTACCCCTAGTTTGATGCCATATGAAGTAATAAAAGCCGCTAGCAGGAAGTTATTGGCCGCGGCTTAACCGTTATTGGCGAAGGAACAGCAACAGACTTCCGCCAGGAAAGCCACCTGATTAGGTTCGCTACCGACAGTCAGAAGCTGAACTGCACTTGGCATTGGGAAAGAACAGTTAGGATCACTACTCCGGAGTACACGTAGAACTGAAGTGAAGTCATATGGATGCTATCTCTACGGTTACAAAGCAGCACACTATGGCTCAGATGACAAGTCATGCCATTAACATGGAATTACGCAGAAGCGACTTGGGAAGAGATGTGATGTTGTACCATGAGACCTGGAATACTAGGGCGACTTTCATAACAATAGCACCAAGAGTTCAGTCTGGTATTAGGAAAAGATTGAGAATCATGCATTCAGAGTGAATACATTTAGATGTGACAAATTGGGTGATGGAGATTGAATAAGCTGCTCGTGAATGCAGCAAGGCGGTCAGATTCTGCCGAGTCCGGGGCTTTCTGGCTTCAAGCAATGATCCGCTCATCTTCCACCACTATCAATCTCCTTGTATCCGATCACCTCAGCCATGTCTCATTTTCATCCGGATGAGGCCAGGTATCCGCCTGGTCCATCCCACAGACCTATGCCCCGCCGTGACGACCGGGACGGCCGCATGTACGACGATCGTTCGCCATCCCGATCGCGCTCGCCTGGCGGTATACGCTCTCCTCCCCGCAACCAGTAGCACAGAGCGCATGCTTTCCTTGGACAAGCGTCAATTTGCTTCTTCAGATCTAGCTGTTACTAACTACATTACATGAGAAGATCTCTCACGCTCGCCTCCCCGTGGGCCCGCGGCGGACAGAAGACCCGATTATTCCAGAGACCGAGTCGACTCCAGACCCCGTTACCGCAGTCGGGATCGCGATGACTTTCGACGGCGCTCGTCGCGCTCCCCTCCTCCAAGGCGAGGAAGACCAGCCTATAGGGATCGCGACCGCGAGGGCTATTGCTCTCCGGGATACCACAGTCGGAGCCGAAGCTACAGTCGCAGCCGCAGTCCTCGCCGCAACCGACAACCGCATTACGGACATGAAAGTAGAGAGGTGATGATGGATGGCCTACCGGTGGACATGGTGGAAGAAGACGTTCGACAACTCCTTTCCCTTGATTTTTGTTGTGGACTCGGAGCGGTGCTCCGCCCAACACCTTTGATGGCAAGAGGCTGAGAATGCATGTCACCGGGCTCCGGTCGACGTGGTTTACAGATTACCAACGAGTTGAAAGAGTTCTATCATGTTGAGGGCCTAGATGACGTTCGTGTCATTCGGGATCGACAGACAAGTGAGTGGGTCATGGCTTATTCCTGCTGCAGTGCTAACATGTGGCAGAGCTGTCCCGACAACTTGGATTTTTGAGGTTTCGGAATCTAAGCTTATCCCGAGCATTCGTGGAGCGCAACTTTCCTACGATCTACCTACATGGACCCAGCGCACAGGACGACCGCGGCACAAAGGTCCGCATCGCATATAGCCGTGAAAGAGAGGACCGTGCTCGTGCAAGAGCAGAGGCGGACTGGAACTGCATGATGGTATGTTTCACGGGGGCTTCTAAGCATGGAGCTAACGGATGCAGTGTGGAATTGTGAATTACTCTACTCGCCAGAAATGCTTCAGATGTCAAGCGCCCCGGCCTGGTACGTTCACTGCGGCTTCCATCTTGTATTGCGTTTCTAATCTGAATAGACGCCGGCCCGGCTGGTCCTCCTGGGTTGCCAGCACCGAAGGTGGAAAACCATGGCGACAATGATGCTGCGCCGGAGAACCAACCCTCTCAATTCCTGCTCTTCCGCGGACTGGAACCTTCGGTAACGGAAGAGCTTCTTGCCAAGGGTGTTGCCAAGCTGTATCGTCCTGCATCTGGGAACGAGGCGCCAGGCAATGGGAAGAAGGGGGCAAAGGTGGCTTCTACTACGGGCGATTCCAACCTTGGTGCCAGGGAGGGCTCTATCCGTCGGGTGTTGCTGGTGCGAGACCGTCGCAGTAACGAGAGCTGGCGCTATGGATTCGCCGAATTTGCGACTATTCAGGTAAGCATGTCGCTATTTGCTACCAAAGCTTTCTAATGCCAGACAGGATGCACAAGCTGCTATTACACGTTTGAACTCGTTTGAGAAATTCACCATATCATCCAGACCGGTTCTGGTCAGCTACATTCACGCCGGTGTATTTGTTCCAGTGCTCAATCCCACAAGCAACGAGAAATTCACATTCAGTCCTCTGAACAACCCATCGCTGAAACTTATGTACTGGGATGAAGAGGCATATGCCAACGAGCTTACTGTATCAACGGCCGAACTCGACAATCCAAAGGGAGATAAACCAGCGGGTCAATCCGATAAATCCAAGGATGCAGATAAAGCGAAGAAGCGCAAGGCAGAAGCGGCTGCCGCTGCCGGGGCAAAGAAGATGGCAGTCCCATCGCATCTGCAATTCTGGAGCAACCGTCATGCCGAGTTGCATGGAATCCAGAAGAAGGACGCGGACGAAAAAAGCACAGAGCATGGCTCGGACCGCGGAGTCTCCCCCTCCGAAGCAACCGCTCCACCATCCCAATCCTATGCCGATCCCAACCGCAATTGCTGCTACTTGTGCATGCGCCAGTTCAAATCATCAGCAGAAGTTAATCGCCACGAGCGGCTCAGTCAACTCCATCGTGGAAATCTACAGGACGAAGAACTGGTAGCCAAGGCGACAGGCAAGCTCATCAAGCACGGAATCATCCCAGCACCAACTGAGTATCGTGACCGCGCACGAGAGCGGCGCAAGGCGTTCGGCTCCAAGCCCTCAGGGAAGAACCGACCCGCTCCGCCCCCGCCAAAGGAAGAGGAGCCCCCAGTGCAGACCTCATCAAAGGGAGCATCTCTCCTCAGCAAGATGGGATGGACCGGTGCCGGCTTGGGCGCTCAAGGCACCGGCATGACCGCGCCGATAGCCACAGAGGTATACGCCCAGGGCGTGGGTCTAGGCGCGCAAGGCAGCAAACTAGGAGACGCAACCGAAGAAGCCGGGCGCAACACGCGCAATCGGTACGACGAATTCCTGGAGAAGACGAAGCAAACAGCACGAGAACGATACGAGCAGCTAGACCGATAGCATGTACAGTAGTTTCCTAACACCGATTTTATGCACGCAATGCAATATAATACAAGAACCCATCCATCCCATAACAAACAAACAAAAAAAGAGTAGAGATCCATCATTCAAAAAGGGTATCTTCCAAACATATCCACCCCCATCCATTTCAAACCCCCCTCACTCCTTCTTCTCCGCAGCAGCAGCAGCAGCAGCAGCCGCACTCCTCTCCTTCTCCCTCTGCAACTCCTTCCCAAACTTCTCCCCAAGCACCTTCTCAACCCACCCCTCCACCTCCCTCTCCAACTCCTTATCCTCGCCGCGCATCAACGCCCCATCCCCCTCGACCATCCCCTTCCTCACGAACCGCCTCATATCCTCCACCCCATTGATATCCAGCGCGTACAAAAGCCCCCCCGCGCCCATCATCCCGAACGACAGCACGTTCATCGTCGCCAGATGCAGCGCCTCGAATGCCTCCGCCCCGCCGCTGACGTTCGGCTTGTGGTACACGCTGCTCGTGTAGTATGGTGGGATGCTCGCGAGGAATTTCCGGTTCATGGCCCGCCGCGTGCTGTAGATGCTGAATGTGAAGAAGGCGAGCCCGCCGAGGAGGAGCTTGAGGTTCGTTTTGGGGGTCCAGAGGGCCGGGAGGGGGGGGTTGAATTCGTCGGAGGGGGAGCGTTGGAGAGTGGAGGGGGTGGATTGGGGGGGGGGGGTCGAGGGAGGTTCGGAAGTGGTGGGTGTCGAGGAGGGAGTTTCTTGGGGGGTTGTGGAGGAGGATGAGGAGAAGAGGGAGGAGAAGAGCATTTTGGTGGTGGTGGTGGTGGTGGTGGTGAGGGGATTGTCGTTGCGGTTGTTGTGGCTGTGGTTGCGGTCACAATTGTGGTTTGTAGAGGAGATCGGAGGTAGAATAGTAGAGAGTAATGGTACTTATGTGAGAGGACGTTTGGCCTTTGCTGTAAGTAACTGAGATGAGTCTTTGACTGCGATTGGAGATTCTGCGGAGATGATGACCAATCGGGAAAGTCGTGGTCATGTGATCTTATCCAAGTCTAGAACCATCTTAGGATTATACATGGCAAAATAGATATTATTCAATTTCCTCTGAATTGATATTACTTATATGATGGCTATATACTATGTATATTACATGCTTATTTGACCCCCCTCTCCCCCAAATGTATATATCTGCAGCACGCGCTCCTTCTGTGCCCGAATCCATGTATTCATCTCCTCACTCAAACACAGCAATTCCAGGTTCGACAAATGAGACGATACCATCCATCCACCCACAAGTGCAGCAGTCGGATAATGAGGCGTCGTGACTCGCCGTCCGTCGGCTTCCGGATACTCAATCTTTTGCGGACTAAAATGAACCGACATCGTCTGGCTGCCGAGAATGTATGGTACAGTGGCGCAGATGTCAAGAGCGAGTGTCTCAATCAGGTTAATAGTCTCCTGTATTTGCTCCAACATTACACCATCGGGTAGAATCTGCAGACAGCGGAGTATGATGTTTTGCACGACAATCCGGGAATCCCGGTAGAAGTTCCATGTTCCGGCCATCCAGAGGTCGGTGTAGCAGTCGCAGCGGTTTTTGTACATGCCCGCTTCCCGCACAGACTGAGGAATTCGGACAGCAGGGAGGGGCCTCCAGTGTTCAGGGAGTGCGTATTTCCAGGCTTCGAGATTCGCATCTAAGCTGTAAGCCCGTGCGAGGATGTCGTGGATGTCCTGGACTTGGTTTGTGCCTTCTTCGTTGAATCTATCCCATGCTTGGCGGAGACCGACTAGCTCGGAGGTGATCATTAGGAGCTGGGATGATGCCGATTGTGGTGCTGCTGGATATAGGGGCCATTGGTTTGGCGTCTGCATGGTGGGATAGGCTAGGCCTTTGGATGATTTGATCTGCTTTGGTTAGTGTATGGTTGGCTGAAAGGCTACAATACATACCAGCTGGACCTGGACCGCATTCTCTAAGATCAGCGATATAATCGAAGATCGCTGCTCCGGCCGCTTGCTGTTTACGAGAGCGACTGCACCTCGTAAATGCGTCCTCCTTGGATGTCTGTTTTCTTTGATAGCGCAGAACTCCTACCGTCATATTAGCGATCGTCATACAGCGGTCATTGTCGACATACCTCATAAGTAGATAAGAGAAGGATACTCATCAAAACATCATCCACAGTGTGAGTAATGTCACCCTGTAACGCTTCCCTCGTCTTAGCGATAGCCTTGACAAACAGCTGCTGCGCTGTCTGCAGAAAAGACCGATTCCCCGTCCAAGCAGCCACAGAGAAGTACGACACGGCCAAAGTGCCGACATGTAAATGAGAGCCAGGCTGAGTATAGCAGAAAACATCAGGCAAGATGTCCATGAACCCGCGTAGGATCAACGGATCTCGAGGCGAGTAGATGTACGAATTGAAGAACATCGCAGTCACGGTATCATCAGTCGGCAAAACCAACGCCCTTGGGACCTCCTCCTGCGCAGTGCGCAGTAGTGGTCCGGCCTGCGGAAGATCTGCGCTAGAGTTGGTGCTAATCAAAGCATCGTTGGATGATGCCGGAGCAGGCGAAGATCGAGCCGATTTCACCCCCATCTGCGGAGAAGACACTCTACTAGATGTGTCTCGCTTCTTGCGGTGGAACGCTACTTGATCTCTCAACATGACATCAAAAGGGTGCGGATAGCCAGGACATGTCCGGCCTGTCCGAACACATGCTCTGCAGTGTGGACGAGTTTCATCGCACTACATTATTAGCAATATACTACTAGATGGTTCCGTGAGCATACCTTGATGCGCCGTTTCCGACAGTTTTGGCACCCCGTGCTTGGCTTCCCGCCGTATACCATGATGGATATTGCTCTTCCGATCAGGCGGCAAGATTGGTCTCGGACTAATCGTTGGTGTATGCAGTCGGGTTCGGATAGTGGTTCCACACAAGCACAAGTACTAGCACTTCTGGAACGGTTCCTAGCAAGCCCATAGTTTGATGGTCGATCCACTGGATTGTCTGGCTGCCAGGGCTTGCATGTTCACTAGTTGTCGCACAGATCCAGCGTTGCGGGACCAAAACCGTCGGGAAATCGGGCCTGTCAGGTGTCAGCCCATCGCCTTATCGGCGCTCACGTGGCGCATGAGTCAGCTTATCTTATCGTTCGATAAGATTTTAGATGCTCGCATAGTCGTGCATTGAATGCTACACAATTAGACATAAGCATATAGAAGTGATAGTCATGTTAATCTGAAAATCAATTGATCATGTAAAAGGCATTCGCCCACCAACGCTGTTGAGGATATCAAAGTACAAAATTCCATCGTAAAGTTCACAATTCCCAGCAAGCAAAAAAAGACAACATAAATCATGAAACATCATCATCTAATCATAAGTACATCGCTATACCGTATTATCATTAAGAGGCGTCATCTTAGAGAGGTCGAAGGGTATGTTCATAACGCATAATTCATCGCAAACATGAAGAACTGCGGCTAAAGCCGCATATATGCAATCAGGCAGCAAACAACCACCAGTCATCGTACAAGAATACTTTTCTCAGGACACCTCAGTAGCATCCTATCGTGCATAGCCGGTAGTGATTAACATATCGGCCCGGCCAGGACGGTCGAAACGATCGATTCCGAGATGTTCCTTGCCATCCCGACCCACATAAATTCCAAAGCCGTACATGGAATGCTCTCGGTCGCCAGGAGGGGCAACGACCAGTCGGGTGACCAGATCCGCCTTGCTCCTAGGCTCGCGCAGGATCTTGTCTGCAAGCAATGGGCTTTGGTATAAAAAGCTCATCTGATCAGCCAAAGTGCTAATGTCATGTGGCAAGCGGCGGCAGCGGCGGGGCCATATGCACAGGAAAGACACCATGTAGAGTGCACAGAAAGCCACGATGGCATAGAACGCAGGCATCAGTGCAGAGATCAAGATCGTCCCATCAGACGGGTGGTACAGGGCGATAAACATCCCTCCGGCCAAGATAGGGATCGCCGCGGACATCGTACTCACGAATGAGATCCAGGCCACCTTATAGTGCTTGTTCAGAAATGCGGCGAGTGTCACCTGCAAGGGAAAGCAGGACGTGTAAGACAACAAGAGACTCTGCTCGGCTCGAGCACCGGTTGGAGAAGCTAGAGCTGCAAACGGCTGCAGCGCACGGAAATAGACATCGATTGGCTGCCATGCCAGGAAGAGGACATTTCCAATAAAGGCAGGAACGAAACTATAGCAGAAGTTGGAAGAGGAAAATGCACCAGTAGACGGCAGAGTTGGCAAACGCGGAGGAAATCCGTCTTTAATCGCATCGTGGATGAAGCTGACCAACACGAACGCAATAAACAAGGCGCAAATTATTATCGTCCACAGAACGACAAAGCCATCGCGAAGGAACCATGGGATCCAGCGATAACGGATCGCTGGCGAATACAAATGTTGATAGTACTCTTCCTTCTCTGCGAGGCCATGCTGCTCAACGTCAAATGATACCCTTGACAGGCCGTGTGACTGCATCTGAAGATTCTTCTCCTTGCGGTGCAATGATGGTGTCCGAACTGGTGCATCTACCTCGCCGATTCCGTAGAATATATCCGCACGGTTTGATAGTTTCCAGTAGCCCAATCGCAAGAACCGCGGGTCGAGCGATTCGCCTACATCTGGCAATGTCTCGGATTGTTCAAAGTCGTGCAAGATGTTCGATCGCTGAATAATTGAAATCAGATCGGCCAGACTCACAGGGTCCCACATCAATCCCGACCATGTGCGTACAAAACGAAACATGAGCAGGAGCAGACCAATGGTCGACAACGCATAGATGGCCACGAGGGTCCAACCAACCGCCGAAACTGATGCCCACCGCCATGTTCCCTGTCCGTCGATCAAGTACCACTTAGCCTGGAAGAAGCAACTCAACAGTGGTAGGGTTATCAAGTTCGACAGCCACATGGTGAACAAAGTGAAACCAACTATTCCCTCGCCATGCCGGAAGTAGGAGAAGTCCGGGACCAGAAAGTTCCGTGATAAGATAGGCAGGCTCTGGAGGACATGACCAAGCGGCCGCTCTGAAGCCATGATGGCAAACGGCATGATTCTATACACTGCCGCTTGGATCACAAACGTCCAGATAATGATGACCATCCCCAAAATTTGGGGTAGGAATTGCATCACAAAGTAATGCGAGCCGCCTAGTCCAGTATAGTCCCAGAGCCCATCATGCCGCCGCGACCATACATTGCAGAAGCTAATTCCAGCAATCATTAGCAGGCAACAGATGATTATGGCAGCCAGTGCCCATGACCGCAAGACTGTAGGCACATAGTCCAATGGCGGGTACAATAGACTGTCATGCGGGGGTTCAACGACGACAAACGATTCTGGATCTACCGAGCTTTGAGGTGCCCTCCCAATAGAGTCGGATGATTGTTGCGGTGGCCGTGCTGGTGGTGTTGCCGATTGACCAGGAGAGCGAATGAAGCAGCCCAATCCTTCATCCCAGAGCAGTGGTTCGAGAGGACTGTCATTACTAGCGAGCGAACTTCGCCGTCTGGGCCCAGCAACTTCCTCGTCACGCGTAAGTTGGCTGATGGCGAAATGAATGTATGGCGAGTCATCCACCCCAGGAGTAAGCGGCCGCCCCGCATAGCTGTCACTGGGTTCCCGGCGACTCGTGGTATCTGACATGGGGCTGGGCTCAGAGTCTTCCTCTTCGACTGCACGTATTGTTTGAGAAGGGGGTGTAACAAAATTCCTGTTCTCGCTCGGGATGTTCAAAGAATGCTCCGATCGTGCACCAGCCGGCAGCGGGGCTAGATTCGTTCGAGAGATGCTAGGAGACGGTGTTCGAGACGGAGGATGAGAGTTTGGTGTCGCATACCGCGCCACGGTGAGTCGACTGCCGCTGGCTCGGGATCTTGCACTTGAAGAAGGGCTTGAGAAGGAGTAGTAGTCGTCGGAGGCGGCGATCGACTGTTGAGACTGGGTGTGCATTAATTGTGGTCTACTAGCTGTGAAGAGATCAGTCATCGGTCAGGCTGATTTCGAAGACGCATCATGCTTTATTCCTTGGCTGGGTGCCAAGGTTATGCAGAGTAAACTTACAACTGACAGTTCTGAGACTCACATTCCCAGAGCCCGGAGCGAGCATGGCGGCGGCCGAAATGCAACCGAGGAATGTATACGGTGAACAGCTCACTTGCAGTGCGGATTGTGGATGTGTCCGATGAACATTCCCCCAGATGCAGACCCGTACCTGCCCACGAGGTATTAAGAGGCAAGTGCAGCAAACAAAAAGGCAAGGGACGATGCTGAATTGGGCTGGTATCACGGTTTGGGGTGGTTGGTTATACGGCCGACCATGTCTCCCAGCCTCCTCGGGCCCAGCCACCACAGCCCGAGGAGCAAAGGGCCGATCGGACAGCACAGGGCATTAGTGCCTGTTTAGCCCTTGGGATCATCGACATGGTCATCCCTGATTGGAGGATATTGTCGACGAGACATGATGTTCAATCTGTCAGGAAGACTAAGGATGTGTGACGGGGGGTTGACTTGGCCCTTGATGGATGGATCGCCTTGGATTGAGGGCCACCGCCCGATCCTAGGTTGCGGCCCGATCCACTCAGACCCTTGGTTTCCCACCCACAGTTCACATCACTTCACATTGTGATAGTGAAAAGGTTGTTTTCCAGGGGGTCCAAGTTGTTTATTTGTTTAAATAACAAATGTGTGATTGGGAATATTGGTGAGATCTGCTAAAATCACAAATGCATGTGGACTCCGGACTCTTATGGAGTGGGAATATATATTTATTTATTTCTCCCACGCAACCTACACATCTACTTTGAATGTGATCATACTCAACCATGCATATCCCAGGACAATGCAACTATTTGCGTTCATTGTATTAGTAAATATCATGTGCTCCAGTCTATAACTAAATATTAGTACTATGGATAGGAATAATACTCATATGTACCCCAGTCATTGCCGTTATGAATCATACAAATATCCGGCAATGACTCCTCCCCAACCGCCAGCATTGTCACTCTGAGTCGCAATGACCTTGGTTCCTTCAAGAATCATATTGGTCGTGCTCTTTGTATTTGTTCCATACAGATATATGGAGGTTGAATTGGCTATGTCAATCGCATTGGTCTGGCAGTCACCGCTGCAATCACCGTTGTTGTTGAAAAAGACCCAGTTGCAACCACCGTAGAGGAAGAGGTCGGACGAGCCATAAATGCGTTCAAACAATGCCATGCGGCATTTGCTATCATTGGCAGCGCAGTTGCTGAAGTCTGGATCACTGCTGTCGAGATACTGCCATGGGGCTGGGTTGAGAGCGCGGCTCCCGGCTCCCTGCCAGTATGGTGTTTCACTCTGCTGCATTGCAGTGAAGACGTTCCGGGCATACTGAAAATTGTACTGGTAGAGTGTATTGTGCTCGGATCCTGTGCCAATGAGCCAGGTCGCGGCTGTACCTTCCACTAGTAGCCCACGGCCGGTGGAGATGGTTTGCGGGTTGTCCCCATCGAGATCGTGATCGGCTGTCCATCCCCACATGTTCTCAATGTAGGCAGATGATGTACTGGTCAGATGGAGGAGCCCCCAGGCTGCCTTGCAGTCATTGGGGTCGTCTGTACATAAACTCTCCACTTGGCTACCCGCCGCTCCACCAATGCGGAAATGCGAGTTCCAGAAGCCAACGTCTCCAGGCGACCTGGCAGCGATGTTGACCTCAACCTACAGCAGAAGGACATATTAGCGACCGTCATACAGAGACGCAGGAGAGATTATGTCTTACCAACTTGCAGCCTGGCAGAACATCTGCCACAGTGAACACCATGTCACTAATTTGCGCAACACCCACATCTCCCGGATATCCCACCAGGATCATGGCGCGAGGAGCAGACTCATCTTCAAAGTTGCTTCCGACGGCACTGATTGTCGAGGCATATGCGTCACCGATGATCCGGGTACCAGCGGGCACGAAAATCGTATCCGTAACAATGTACGTCCCGGCGGGGAAATACATGAGCGAGCAAGATGTCTTGTAGCGGGACAAAATGAGGTTAATGTTCCGAGTATCATCCGTCTCACCGTCCCCATAAACCGGGATCCCAGGAACATTTTTGATGTTCAGGACCTGCCCGGTGCTATACTCTTTATACGTCGGCGGCGCCATGGTAAAATAGTTTTTTCCTGACAAAAGCGATGAGGAGCGGGATGTAGTAACTGTCTGGCCCTGTTGTGACTGGAATTTGGCATTGTTGGAAGTATACTAATTATGAGTCAGATAAACCTGCCTTCCTTGGTCGAGGGGGCACACTGCATGAACTTACCAAATGTCCATGTACCCAAGTGTTGGCAACATTCCCGCTCAACGTGGTTTGTCCTCCTATCTTCACCGTGGCGCCTGAATTCTGAACATTGTCTAGGACGATAGAATTCCCTGCAGTGTTCGAACTAGACGACGAAATAAGAGTACCCATACCAACACCGGTAGTATCGACGACGGTTAGAGATCCGGATGTGCCTTGCGCGTCAATTCCCAGGGTACCCTGCTCGAAGCGACAGCCCAAGAAAACAATATCGGTCCCTCCAGCCTGAACGCCAGTAGTGGTACCACTGAATGAGATGTTCTTGAATACCCATTGTTGGCCACTCAACTTCATGCCGGTTGCGCCGCCTTTGAACCAAAGGTCACTCTGTAAGCTGTCAGCGCTATGCCATCATAACAGTAGAGAGCACAATTACCAGAATCAAGTTACTGTTGTAGTCGTATTGTGTAGTTAGGCCGACGTGCTTGGCAGTGTTTGTAGGCATATTGAAACCGACATTGGTGAGCTGAGTCGCCTGGCTAACGGTCCAATCAAGAAGAGTGATGGATTTATCAGCCCCGACCCCGGTCGAGTCGATGATAATGTTCTTAATTCCGAGGTAAAAATTGATTGTACCCCCAAAGTTGGGATCCTTGGCGTAGATGATATGATCGTCCGCGAAATCTGATGATGCCTTGAGGACTGGAGGGTTTGTGGGGTCACCTATAATGACAGTCCCAAGGTACAGCTGCAGAGATGACTTCATAAGATACGTTCCTGCTGGCAAGTAGATGATAGCAGGCTGTCCAGTAGTACCCATGGAATTGGAACTGCGGTCAGGTCCATTTGACGGTCCAGCTATGTGATGTTCGGTCTTAGAAAATGCTTAAAGTGATTGATCGACTCAACCATACCTTTGATTGCAGCTGAGATAGCTGCTGCTGCGTCCTTCTGTCCAGTATTGTCCGCGCCAAAATCCTTGACAACGTTGCGGAAGACAGTATAGTTGTCTTTGTACTTCGAATCCATGAAGGATGACTGTCCATTATGATCAATCTGTTCATACCAGTACCCAGACGAGTTGCTGGATGAAGTGCATAGAGAATCTTCTTCCGCCAGTGCAGAATGAGTTATGGGGGCGGTTGTTCGATAAAGCCATGGTTGAGCAGATTGGTTCTTTATCGTGTAAGGAATTCCGCTATTTCAGTCAGCACTTGTAGACATGTGATATGAGACAAAGTGGAAAATACAAGACTCACGAGGGCTTGGGTTGGTAATTAATTGGAGGAAAATGCTGTAACGGCGACATAACTCGGGAGGCTGAGCTATTCCTCGATCCTCCATGGGGCACTGCCCATACTTGAAGGGAAAAGATGCATAATATAGTTACAAGAACGGAGACGGTAGGGGAGCCCATGATTGAGACCTTTTGAGGGTGGTGTAGGGGAAATTACACAACAGAAATCAAGGCTCGACAGGAAGCAAATCCATTCAATCCGAACGAACAGGCCGTATACTGTCTCCTTAGGATCGGAACAGTCTGACAGGACCTGAGCGAGAGGAAGAACAAATGGCCCAGGTCGGTAGCCTGATTCAGGACGATGAATACAAGAGGCGATGACCGGACTTAAATGAAACCATTCATGGTTATGAGCTCGAAGACTTGCCCAGCCTGCACCTGCATACCAGGACAGGGCCGAGGCATGGCAGGCCCAGTCAATCCCCGCCGCCATAGAATCCGCATACTTGGGCATTGGGCCCAATTCAGGGAATGGAAGGCACTGCGTATGGCACAAGACAACATTTCAAGTTTGACAAATTATGTGGTCGGGACAGATGTTTTGCTTCTTTTGCTTCCTTAAACTTTCCTCCTTTCCGCTTGGCCCAGATCCACTCGGAGGAGAAGGTTCAATGTGGACATTACCCCTTTCCGACGGGCAGGCAAATCCGCTTTGTTGCATTGTGATGCGAGATGCGAGATGTGGGATATAGCTAGGCCAGAAGAAAGGTTGAAATCAAATTATGGCAGGAAACGGACTTGAGGTGCAGAATGGAGGAGGGAGACAAATAGTCATGTTAGCATCCGCAGTGTCACACGTATAGTAAGTAGTAGTCTGGTTGGCCTGCTGATCATTGCAGACAGCTCGGCAGGAGGCTTGGAAGGTACCGGATGAGAGACAGCATGCCGCAGAACACATGCCGACCCGCAACCTTGGAGGGAAACACGTAGACCCTGGATGGCAGGGCTCGAGTAATGGACGTGTCAGTCACGTGAGTGTGTCGGCTGGTGGTCTGCTGTACATGAATGCCTCATCTTCCATCCTGGCTTGATGTCGGAATCTTCAAACCTTCATAGGCCAAGATGGCCTTGCCTACGCTGTCCACGCCTCGTCATTTATTTGACCACCCCACTAACATAACTAACAGTGCCCACCTTCCCATCTCCTAGGAACGTTTCTGGCCATTGGCTAATAGGCGACAGTGCATGCTGTAAATACGATATTTCGTAGGTTCATCGCACTTGAGACAATAAATTCTCTATCGATCTTTCAATCTCATATTCGGCAATTCAGTAGCGGAGAAAGATCCCGAGAACTCGATGGTGTTGTTAATGATTTCCGGATCGTGTGCAAGGGGTGGAGTGAATCTACTACTCTTGCCCCTTACGACTCTGCTAGAGGCTACAATCTCACCATCAACTATCCACTAGACCAAGACAACATAATTTCCTTACATATAACTTGTTTACAAATTGGACTGTGGCTTCCTGGCGACCGGCCCTGGTGAAGCTCGGCCTTTAATTGTCAACGTAACGCGCAGTTTCACTAAAGTCGAATCCTTATATTCTGTTTTCGGAGAGGTTGGAGAGCTGGCCAGCCTGCCGCTACATGTGATACAACGTAGGGCTGGAGTCTTCATCGCTTGGTAATCTAAGTTCAAGCCCTAGAACTCCGCAGTTTGCGTGCTGGTTGTAAACAAGCATAACAGCGAAAAGCCGGAACTTGGTAGATTCCGGTAGTTGATTATTTCTGACGCACCATAATTGCAACCCATCAGACGTGAGCTACACTGGTTTGATGCTCCGAGCCAGTCGAAAACATGATGGGGAAGCCTTGCGACCAGGAACATGGCTCCTGCCTCAAGTAGCCTGCAAACGGAGCTCGCCGTGGCTAAAGGAAGTTGCCATCTCGCAAGCCGTTCGGTCGCAATTGAGGAGGATGGCTCTATTTCCACTAGCTTAACATGAGGTAACTTCCATCTGCAATTCTCGTTGACAGTCACGTCAGATGGTTTGATTCCCTGAGATATAACAGCGCAACTTGAACTTTCTAGCATGTCTCAGCAGGCTGTATTTGCATGAGACACAGAGTCATTCGAGTCCGACAAGATGGATTGCTTGCCAACTGAAATTCTCGAGATGATCGGGACCTTCGTAGATGACAAGCCCACGCAAAAGGCTTTGACTGAAAGCTCTGTCGAATTCCACACGCTGTTTACACCACGTCTCTATTCCTCTATCACCCTACCAAGCATCTGGACACTCATCCAGTTTGATCTCATTCGACGACTGTGCTCTTCACCTGAGTTGGCGAGTCTTGTTCATCACTTTGCTTTCAGGATTCGGGGGTACGACGACTACGGCGAGGATGAACTCCCCCCAAGGCGCAAAGAGTATAAGCCCTTCATTGATGAACTTGTGGCTGCGTTATGTGAACTGGGATGTGATAAATGGGTGTGGTGGGATGGTCTGGAGAGCTTATCTAAAGACGCATGGGCTTGCGCAACGCTCATTAAATTGACTCGTCTAACTACTTTGAAGGTCACTCTTGAGAACTATGATTTTTCGGATCTGACAGAGACGTACCTAGCAAGAATCTGGAGATCAGCAGCTTTTCGTCCACAACCACCAGTCCATGCTGCTCCATTCCAACGTCTCAAAGTTATCTTTCTCTTCCAAAACCGCAGGCAGATCTCAGCACAAACACTGCTTACTTCACAGCATATACTGTATTCGCTCTGTTTTCCAGCTCTCAACCATGTCAGTGTGTGCGGACATTTTGACTATTGGGATTATGAACAAGATCTTGAAAAGTGCCTGCGTTACGACAAGTTCATGATTACAAATTGTCCAGTCAAAGAGGTTACTATTTGGCCGTCAGAATATTGCAACGAAATCGTTCAATGGTTCAGAGAATCGACTAATCTCGAGCGTCTTAATCTTGTGATAAGTCAGGTGGAGCGTGAACCGCCTGAGATAACAGTCACCGACTATTCACGCCAAGGGCTCCTAATGGTCAAGGATACCCTAAAGTCTCTTTCTATTCAATGGGATGAAAGATTACAGCAAGGCTTCAGAGAAAGGGGGCCCAATTCCCATCGTCTCAAGATGAGCATTTTCCGATTTTCGTCACTCATGGAACTGTGTGCTCTGGAGCATCTCATTATACCACACTCAAATCTTAAAGGGCTTCCAGACCAACCCACATATGAGTATTCAAAATCCTTCATTAGCAATTTTCCTGCCCCACTCAAGACACTCAGGATCACCGACATCAATTTCCATCTCATCACTGAATTACTCCTAGATGGTGTGGGATTAGTCAAAGAGCGGACTTCCATGCCCTCCCTGGAGTGTGTTTCTCTTGAAGCGTTCAAAAATGCAGACTCGAGGAGTACCTTCTGCGATGATGTCTCAATTCAAGGGTATCTGTCGCATAACGACCCCAGGATAAAGGGGCAGGTTCGCCTTGATTTAGGACGGGATGCCAGGCTACTTAAACAGCATAATGCGCTGAAACCACATACTGAGAGCTATACCTTTCGGTTCTTTGAAGGAGCAGACAACCTTGATGCAGCTTCATTTGTGAGGCTGGCATCCTCAGTAGATGACAAGGTCTCTGTAAATATTAACATACAGCCGGACCCTTATTATATAGAAGAGAAGAAATAGATAACCCAGTCATTGGAAACTGGCTCATGCCGCTGTTCCATGTGATTCAAGGATCTTTATCATGGAATAGCTAGTAGCGATCGGTGTATGGATGCTTCTAGGTGCCTCTTCGCACGGACTTCACTTGCTTGACTGTACGGTTCTTATCTTTCCCGGAAAGTACATCAACTTAACAATTTTGCATCTTTTGAACAAATCAGAGAGCACATATTATACAGCTTGGTCATGCCACCACGATGAGTAAAATTGCGTCCTCGTCAAAATGTGCTTCGTAGAACAATCTCATAGGATGGAAGAAAACTGTGCTGTGAGCAGATTATTACGATATCGACAAGGCGTAATCGGCGCTAGAAAGGCTAAGCTCCGAAGGTGGGGCGGGAATATGATCCATCATCCAGTAGAACCCTCTGCCTTATAAGTAAGAACATGGTCGGGCAACTGCCTCTGCACCAAAGATTGTGAAATTTATTTTTGTCACAGCCTCGGTGACTCGTCTGCCAAAATGCAGATGGAGGGTATGAGCGGGGGGACGTACTATGGCGTCTTGCACGCCTCCGACGTTGACTTTACCAATATCACCCAGGTCGAGACGTTTCTGCATGAGCTCAAGCACCTGGAGTATCTTCCTATTTTAGGGGCACGCTATGCGGAGTATTTCTGGTATGGGGTTATTGTTCTGCTGGTTGTGGTGGCGGTTATCAACAGGGTGTACTCACTTGTTCAATTTTTGAGGTGAGTAAGAATATTGAATTTTTCGGTTACTTGGTTGGGATATGATACTAATACGTCGGCTGTGCCGGAAAGGTTCTATCCAAGTATAATCCAAAGGTCATACCTTGCCAATATCGTTTCGTCAACACTCGCAACTACCACAGCGCTGGCTCGGGAGCCATCTTATCTCCAGTGGACCCCCCGTGCGTTGTCACCTTGGTTCAAGATCCCGCCATTCGGACCGATATACATCATCCTCGTATACTTTGTCTTCATCATCGTTCTGGAGTTCGTCAACAACGATGTTGCAGACGCTGGTTATTGGCAGTTTCTTGGAGTCCGCGCTGGATGGCTTGCAGCTGCCCAGATTCCCCTCCTTGTAGCCCTGGCAGGGAAAAGAAACCTGGTTGGTATGCTCTGCGGCATACCCTATGTCCGACTGAACATTTATCATCGCTGGGTATCTCGAGGGCTTCTGCTGCTCTCGACTTTTCATTTCGCGTTTCAAAACCATGGGTGGGATATCTATCATATAAGTAGACTGGAGTGGGACACAGATGACTGTCCCACAAAGGGTATCGCCGCCTACGCCTTCATCCTATGGATGAATCTCACAACGTTAGCCCCCTTCCGACATATGAGCTATGAGTTCTTCGTCGTACAACACATCATCACGTTCTTCGGATTCATCATCGCCCTCTCTTATCATCTAGACACCAGCCCAGCCCCTAACGCTCAGCGCTACATCTACGTCACCGCCGGTATCTACGTCGCTGGTTTGGTCCTGCGATTTGTTTACTACAGCTATATCAATTCTCGCCCCGCACGAGCCATACTAGAACCCCTGGAAGGCGGTGCGACCAGGGTCCGAATTACTGCTCACAAGATCCGTAACTGGAAGCCCGGCTCGCATATCCTTCTATCACTCCCGCGCTTAGGGCTCCAGCTCTCACACCCAGCAACCATCTCATCCATACCATCATCCCACGACGGCGAACTAGTCCTGATCCTAAAAGCCCACAAGGGCTTCACGCGAAGGCTGATTAACACCGCAGAAGCCACACTCAGCAGCACCAAAGACGTCGAGTCCCCACAAACCAAGCGCTCATACACTGCTCTACTCGATGGCCCCTACGCAAGCTCCGCTCCAGATTTCACATCTTTTGATTCCGTCCTATTCCTTGCAGGTGGCACAGGTGTAACATTCACCCTATCCCAACTCCTCCACGTCGCACACTGTTTCACAAACGGGTCGTTGCCTCTCCGCCAAGTCCTCTTCATCTGGGTGATCAAGGAAAGCCGCCAAGCATCATGGGTTCTGGCCGAGCTTGAAGGCGCAATGCAGAAGCTACAGAACACAAATATCCAGATCCGGGCGAAGATTTTTATAACGCAGGACTCTGTTTGCCTCCCAGACACCAACAGAAAAATCAACAATGAGAAACAGACCTGTGCCTGCACAGATCCCTGCATCTGCTCCAACGAGATTTATGGCGACGACGTCGACAAAATCGAACAAATAACTCCTTCTTCACCCTGCACGGACCCAGATTCGGCCCTCGAAACCCCGGGATCTCCCAGGATCTCCTTCGCACAGGGAAGACCTTCGTTCGACGGTTACATCGAGGACGCCGTCTTGCAAGCTAGAGGCGAAATAGCTGTTGCTGCTTGCGGACCCATCGGACTAACCGTTTCTGTGCGACAGGCGGTGGTCCGGGTGTCGGATCATCTGGCCGTTTGTAAAGGGTCTGGATTGCCGGGGGTGTTTTTGCATGTGGAGAATGTGTGTTGATGACTATTATCTACTAGATTACAGTCATTTGCAGTGATTAAGAACTGGGCTGGGCGGGTGGATGGATGCAGTGGTGCGATGTATATATCCGAGACGAGTACATATTCTAGCTACTTGTGGTATGAGATCTATGCGTTCGGTTTCAGTGAAGATACGAATACGACAGTGTAAGTATAGCCTGGTCCTAACTGGATACAGGCTAGAGATTTGTCTAAGGGTCTTGTTTAATCTTATAACCCTTGGCAATAAGATTCCTCAGTTAAGACCTTCCGAATACTATGGTAATATCACGCTAAGCTCCTATGATACATTCAATCGGGCCATCATTAATCCGAGTCGATGTTGATCCTGGCCACGTCATGTATGCCAACTCATTCAATTTAGTAACAATGAGGGGTAAGTATACTTCCTGATAAACCCGATTGAGAATGGTTGGATGCTATAACACCCATATATGCCACCTTTTAGTCCTAAACCCACCTGATGTATCTTAATAAGCAAAACTCAAAAACGATATACCCCACACTCACTGCTATACAAACGTAAACCCAAAATACACCACTTAAGTGGAGAGAATGGTCCCCTTCAACTATTCCAAGCTTCAGCTCGGACCGAATACTACACGCCTCGTCCGTCTTCTGCCATCCGAGAAAGACGATACCCCGATAAGATGCGAGCTTATCACCTATATACTGCCAGAGAGCACTGGCAAAAGGCATCTCTACGAGGCGTTGTCCTACGTATGGGGCAGCCAAAGTGAGACACATACAATCATTGTGAATGGATGTGACCTTCATGTTACACGGAACCTTTATACAGCCTTGGTACACCTCCGAGATAATCAGCTGGAGAGAATATTATGGTTTGATGCAATATGCATTAATCAAGAGGATGATGATGAGAAGGGCGAGCAGATCCCTCTTATGCGGTCGATTTATGCACAAGCTGATCGCGTTCTTGTCTGGCTTGGAGAGGCTACGCAGGATGATAAAAATACACTCAAAAATATTCACCGCTTGGCATGTGGAAGCCTATGTGGTGAAGATGAAGACTTATTGGGTGCATGTTTAAGATTATTACGACGTGATTGGTTCCAACGTACATGGGTAAGAAAGCATTGAATATGCTAAGCCTTATGTGTGTAAATCTCACCAGTTGTAATAGGTACTTCAGGAGGTTGGTGTCGCCCGATGTATATCCATCCTCTGTGGCTCTATGGAAATAGATGGGTATATTTTCTGTGCAGGCCTTGCATCCTCCAGACTCTCGTTGCCAAGCTTTATCTACCCAGTTCTTCACCTGATTAAGGACTCGCGTCTCCGTCCAAGATATGAAATTGATCCACGTGGAATACTTACTATTGGTGAACTGATTGACATGTACCGCTTTCACAAGGCAACTAAGCTACACGACAAGATATACTCATTGCTAGGCCTGTGCGTTGAGAATCCTGCAGAGGTTGGGTTAAAGCCCGACTATCGTCTTCGGTGGAATGAGGTCTTCAAGAAAGCCATTATCCATGTATTTCATAGTTCTTGCTCTGTGGAGACATGGCCGGAGTCACCAGTCGCTGTGATCAAAGGGAAAGGGTTGGTTCTAGGCTATGTCGGCTCTGTTGATAAGGAAATTTCCAGATATGGCTATCAACATATCGAGGTAAGCTATAATTATACCGCTCGTTCACTAAATTACCGGGGCAAATGGGGCACTAGGTGGAGGATTAGTGTTTCTGCGGAGTCAGTCGAGAAAGGTAATATTATCTTTCTATTGAACGGTGCCTCAAGTCCAATCATCGTTAGACTCTGCAGGGGTTATTTCACTGTCATTGTGAGCACAACAGCACTTGAGTCATATGACAACGTGGAAAGGTCTAATGGAGTTTCCACCCAAATGGGGTTCCCTGCACAAGGCTCTCTTCGCGACATCGTTTTGGTTTGGGACATATCATCAGCCGATGGAAAACATAATCAAGACAATGACGACCATAAGGATCTCATCTACGTGGTACCACATTACCAAGAGAAAGCTTCCGAGAAGGAAAAAAGACTACAAGGCATATCACTCATCTCAGAAGACATCATGATGCAAATACTGAAACAAAATGGGACCAGGGCCCCGGATAACGAGCTATACCAGGCCATTCAACATCTTGGAGGGAGGATACCACTCCCTGAGAACATCATTGAGGCAGCTGCTGCACGCGGAAGACTTTATGGGATCAAAATTGTGGAGCAGCTCCTGGGTCACTGTGGAGACACCATACCAGTCTCTGAAAATGTGCTTGCGGCAGCAGCAGCAGCAAATGAAGAACTTTTGGGGTTCATAGTACTGGAGCGGCTCCTGAAATACTGTGGAAAGAGTCTACCGGTCACTGAAGATGTGGTCAGGGCAGCAGCAGCAAATGAAGGACTTTATGGGTATGGGATCATTAAGAAACTCCTGCGACACTGCGGAGAAAGCCTACCGGTCTCTGAAGAAGTGATCAAGGGAGCAGCATGGAACAGGGGATTCTATGGGCATATGATCAGGGAGCAGCTCCTAGAACATTGTGGACGAGGAGGCATAATAGTCTCTGAAGATGTGATCAAGGCAGCAACAGCATATAGAGATATTTATGCGAATGAGATCACACAGCAGAGCCTGGAAGATTTTGGAAAGAGTCTACCAGAATTTGATGATGTGATTGAGGAAGTAGCAGCAAATGAAGAGGATGAGCAGGAGCTGCTCCTAGCTTATGGAAAGTCAGAGCCTACCAGAATCCGAAGGTATTGTCTGGGAGCAGAATCAAAGGGAAGTTACAGATGTCAGATCAGGAAGCTGCCCCGGGAAGATATAAGTAGGATGGCGAGGATTCCCTGTGGCTCCATAGTATCCCACTATCCTTTTATTGCTCCGTACAGGCACGTCTCTTCTTTTTAGTCGAGGCATCCGATTAGCAGGTATGTGAAGGTCACATGCACGATTACCACCTCTACGCAGCCTGCGAAGCCTTAGATATGAATATTACCCAGTGGCCTTAATCTAGATAGCGTTCTCAACATTTGTTAACCCCTTTGCTAAGGGGTGTCTGGGATAATGGGAGGTCTTGATCTCACCATGGCCTCTTCACGTGACCAGGGACGCCATGAAGAAAACTGCCCTCCAAAGGCAAAGCTGAGATATCCATCTGCAGGACGGAAGGTTCTAGCTCTAGCTGAAAGATGGCGTCCTCAGGTTCTGTTGGGACACATATCTCTCCGTCGCCTGGCTAGAACCACGCGATATATCGTTTTTGGTCTAGCGGTTAGTGCTTCGACAGGTTCGTTACTTAGTGGATGGCACAGCCGGAATATTCCAAGAGTACTCCGTGTAGGTGGTGACACCAGTATCCGGAAACCCTGCACTGTAGGATCTGCTTTATCCTTTTGCGGTCGGCTATGACTTGGCGGGTACTGGCAGTGTTGGAGCCTTAGGCTGGTTTGGTTGGAAACTAGGGGGGAGGATGTTGATTCAAACTGAATTTACCGGGTGATTTTTCGACAGTTGACTAGAGTACTCAATTCATCTTAGATAGCTGCGAGGGGCCTGCCTAAAAGACATGTAAAAGTTATCCCATCTTTTTGGACACGAAACACTGGCATTCTGCGACAGTTTACTATGGTCCACTGTCGCTCGATGGCCAAGACGTCTGAGTGTCGAGCAATATTCCCCACTCACGTTTCGGAGCTCCGAAGGTGTACTATGTTTAGAGTTGTCAAATATACATAATCCAGAAAGTTGCTACCTATTTGCTTTCCGTAGCTTATCTCAAAGATAACGGAAGATGGCATTTGGGGGGGCAGGGTGCTAGCCCAATTTACAAAGTGGTCTAAAGCTAAGATTGCAAAAAGTATGTGTGCTGGTTGGTCAATGTTCGCGTGCAAGGTCAAGGGCCTTCGCAGTACTAAGACCCGATCGTTAAAGGAATTTCAGGGGGTAAAGCCCGTTTCATTGTCCCGGTGATTTTCGATGCAGTGTACGGCAAACAGCACATACTGTCAGGGTAAGAATGTGTGCCTGTCAGCAGATTGTCGGAGTATGCCCCTGACGTATTATCCGATTCATGTGAAAGTCCCTACGGCGAGCCTTAGGAAGAATGCAATGGCTGCCTCCGTGGGTCCAGTCCGTTAAAATCTCGCTTGTTTATTTTATGTGGGTATGCTTCGGGGATCCGAATTTCTCTCCCCGCGGTAGTTGATTCTAACTCCAACCGGTCCTTGTCTAAAACAAGTCTGCGGCACGAGTGACCAGATAGGCTTAGGAAAAACCAGATTGTACCTGGACGGGAGATGGGGTCAGACGGGACGGTCCACGCGGGCTTGCGAAGTGTGCGAAAGTGCGTTGGAAGATGGTTTGTTCATTAGTCGTTACGCATGTGCCATTACGTAGAATTGTTCAAGGGTCTATTATTAGTAGCTTAGAACCCCAGAGAAAAACCCGATTATGGAGTTGAGCCAATTTGTTTGCGCAGCATAAGGTGGTTCGTCCGAGCTTTTGAGATGTCAAACGGGCCCATCGTCATTTCAGACAAGTTGGACTCGTGGTGCGTGGGACTCGGCCGAATTATCGTTATCTGCGGTCCAGCGAATCAAAAGACACCTTTCCGTGGGAACAGGGGGGCATTGCTTACTGCGCTTTTCAAGGCTGGTGGATGCGCATAGGCGGCCTAGCCACGGTAGGAGACGGGAGGACGAGAAAGACAGCAAGGTCAATGGATAGAGGAGAAAGGGAAAAATTAAAATCAGGGAATAAAGGCCACTAGGATGAATGTGAATTGGAAACTAGGATGCAGCTGATCGGTAGGGATCAGAACAAGATGATGGAAAGGCAAGAATGAAGAGTGGATTGTGACTGACGGAGTGACGGGATTGAGAGTTGCACCGTGGCGGAGAAATGACTTACTGACTAACAGACGGCCCCTCACCAATCACGAGCGGCTGATGCCGACTGTCTTCCCCTTCGATCATCTCACAGCCTTTCGCAGTCCAGGCCATCCGTTCATTCACCATCCAACTCAACCCAGTCGTTCTTTCGGTCCTCTCTTTCGGTTCCAATCACTCCCTCCCTCCCCCCGGATTCTCCTTCTTCGAATGAAGGTTCTCTCTTATTCTTCCCACTATTCTAGATAGTTAGTTCCAAGGGCTGCTCGCCAGAGCTGCCTCTTGTTCGCTCTTGGTCTCTCCGCCAACCTTTCTTATCGCGGCCGCAGCGCCGCTCCGCTCCCTTAATCGCCATGCTGCTCAAACCCGCCACTCCCCTCACCATCCTCCTCCTGATCGCATTTGCGCTTCTCCTCATCTCAGTCATCTCCACCCCTATCGTCAAAAGCATTGCGCTTGCGAGACATGATAATATCGATTATGGCGTGTTTGGATACTGCAAAGGCGATGTGTGCACCAGCATTCATGTTGGTTACGCCGACGGTTCGTCGCCCTCTTCTTGTGCCTTTGATCTCAATCTCGTCAAGACCGCTAAACTCCTGCATTAAATCGCAGCTGACTCTAGTTCAGATGATATTACTTCCGAAGACGGTACATTCAGCATTGCGCCTGGCACCCGCCGATCGCTCTCAGCCATTCTGATCGTCCATCCCGTCGCGGCCTTCCTCACACTTGTATGTCTATGTATGGCAGCAGCGGCTCATTTTCATGCACCGTCGCACTCGCCCCGCTATTTGCTAGCCTTATTGATTCTACTGCTTCCTACCCTTCTTGTGTCACTCCTCGCCTTCCTCGTCGATATTCTCTTGTTTGTACCGCACATGGCCTGGGCAGGATGGATTGTCTTAGTTGCGACCATTTTACTTGTCACTTGCGGCGTGGTCACATGTGCAATGCGTCGGACACTTGTGAGCCGCAAGGCTAGGAAGAAGCGAATCAACGAAAACGCTGAAATGAGCGGGGAGAACTTCTACAACCGCCAAAACGCAGCGACGGCGGCAGCGGCAGCCAACATGGATACCAAGGAACCCGTGATCACCGGGTCGTCACCTTCATCTGAGACGGGTCCTACATTTGCTACTTTCCGTACGACTACACACGACAGTGATGACGACCGTACTCCACTGAACTCACGGACTGTTCAACCTGACCCTCCAATGCCCGATAGTCAGTTCACCCGCGTCCGGAGGGATATGGCGGCCTATAACTCCCCGCCTGACGATGCTGGTATCTCTGGTCCGCAGGCTCCACCATCCGATCCTCGTTTGCGCAATCAGTATTCCGACGGCAGTGTTGGCTCGCGGAGAGGGCCCCCTCCGCCAGGGTTTGCCCGCGGACGAGGTGGTTATCCACCGCGCGGGGCTTATAGCCGTGGAGGGCCTTACAGAGGACCACCTCGAGGACCGCCTCCGGGTGCAAACGGTGTCCCAATGGGTCCCATGCGAGGTGGACACCCCGGGATGATGGGACGAGGCTATCGAGGACCCCCTCCGGGTGATTACATGCCCGGGCCCGCTCCTCGACCAACCCCGCCGCCTGAAGATGAGTACGGCTATCACCACCCACCGCCCGTCGCGCGAGAGCCGTCCCCTGGACCAATTGGAATGGCAGTATCTCCAGATCATGGTAACCCAATCGGCCAGGCCATCGAAATGCAACCACAGCCACGACGAATGGGCTCCCATGAATCGCATGAAGGGCACCTCGAACCCCAGCCACATGCGCTATCAGCAGATGGCTATCCGGAACCCATTAGTCCCTCAAGCCTCTATAGTCGGACAGCGTAAGCTGTGTATCCTCTCTAACCTTTTCTTAGGATGCTAACAAATCCTAGATCCTATGTTCCTCCACGTGCCGGTTGGGCTCCAGAGGAACCGCGGGCCGGCCCCTCGCCCTCACCTGTCCATGCGTATGACGGGCCACGACAACATGCTCGAACTCCTTCAGCGGACTATTTTGAAGATGCAGACCCTCGGTTTGCTACTACCAACAAGTCGGCGGCGGGCAACCCTCGGTTGCCGGCTGTCTTGACACCAGGTGCTACTGGTGAGAGGAAACCGATGGAAGATATGGCGGAAGGACCCAGCTCACCGACTACTAGCGAAGTAAGCCACTTTACGTCAATATCTGAGCGACCTATCAATCCCCGCTGGCGCCCACCTCCCGTTCCAGCTCAGCGGAAGCATGACGTTCTCCTAGAGAACAACCCCGACTTTGACTTGCGGGCCGGTACTGGGCGAGGAGGAGCTGCTGCTGGTGTTGGTAGTCGTATGCCACCTATGTCAATACCTCGAGATGCGGCAAGATACCCCATTTGAACATAATCTTAATCCTTTCGTCTACACCATTGATGTGCTTGTCACAATCATCATGCCGGCCTTGCGTGGAGTTATGGAGTCTGTTATGGAGTCTGTCACTGGACTGTTTTCGTTGTGTTCATCACTTATCCTGTTATGCTTGCGCAGCATGACACTGCAAATAAGCGCCCCTGTCCGTTGCGTCGGTCCATGTATATGAAAAGTGGAAGATCCGGATGTACAATTGAACGGCTCTCTTGCTGTGATGTGGGCTTGATTGTCGTTAGTTATGATTGTTATGTTAGTTCGATAGCCATGATTGATTATGAGATTAGCAGTTGTCTTCCTTTGCTGTATAACAGGGAAGACTGATTTCGAGTGTCGATAGGTAAATCCAACTAAGCGCCATAGCAAGTTTGTCTTCAGGCTAGAAATGTCGCCAAGCGCGGTCATGTGAGTCCTGCTCTTCTCAAAGGCATCAATCACTTGGCCTGCATGCAGTGCTACTTCCACCGCAGAAAAGTCTCTCGAGACGACTTCATTGCACTTGCCAATCAATATTGACTCTACATTCTATAGCGCACTCCATCATGCAGCATATCCGTAAACAAGGCAGGTGAAGGTTAGTTCGTTAACATCAGCCAACAGCCCAGAAACTTACCAGTACCACCAGTGGTCCTCTCGCTCCACGATCTATCACCTCCGCGGATACCAGCAACCTTATGGTGCACATAATACAATCAAGGCAGTGCCTGTGGATCTGTGATGCAAAATACGCCGCCACGACCTGTATCTGGCATACAAATGATGATTGTCATGGCAATACGAGCTGATTGCTGCTGCCTGCTCCGTGACCTGTGCTTTACTTGAAAATAGCCTTCGTCAGCGCAAGCTCTAATTGACACCCAAACATGACTGGTCAGCGAAGCGTGAAGCGATAAGAGATATAGCTACGGGACGCCCCCATCTGTTCGATCCGGAGGGGCTATTTGTCTGGGCTCACATTTACAACGAGAAGAATGTTCGCAGTCGACACTGGAGAGAGACGCCAAGTAGTCTTGGACAAATGCCCAGCGTGGCTCAGCGGTAACTGAAATCAAAGTTTGCTGGATTTGGACAGACCGAAAAGCCACTTACTGCTGGCTCCTGACGGAAACATGACGGGTAAGTCTGTTATGGTCTACTGTTGGATAGCTCAAGTGTTGATGATGTGGTGTCTGACGTTGAAAAGTCCTTATACGAGTACTATCCAGCCATCTCGCCGTGATGTGGCTTATCAAGGCATCTAACACGATGAAACTCTTCATGATTCGGTTCTAGCTCATCCATCCCGTTCCATCCCGCAGAGTATGGGGATCTACCCGGACTAGTGCGCCACCTGCCCAGATCCCACCACCGTCCGCAGCCAGGACTGGATAGTCGATACCAAATCACAAAGAGGGCCGAGAATATAAGCTTGGCAGCTCCCGACCGACGGGTAGCATGAGCCTCTGCCGCTCAGCGGAACCGGATTGGCAGACCTGCCAAGATGGTGCCAAGGTGGCGCGCGGCGGAGGATACGATACGTCCAAAGCCGAATACACTGAATCCCTGGATATTGTCGCCTGATGAGTCCGATGCGGTATTGCTATCCTGAACAATTCGAATCGCGAGGATGAGGCGTGTTTGTGTCGCATATGGGGCTGAAACTGAAACGTCCAGAGCGGCGGTGAAGACCAACCACGAGGATAATGCCAAACGTGCGTCTCTCCGATGGGAGTATCGACTCGAAGGTTAGGACGAGTGATGATCCAACTTGGCGCGGAGACACGCGGGGGGCTCGCCATGATTATGAAGATCCAGGCAGTGTCTACCACATATAGATCCTACGTCCGGCACGTTGGATGCCCGAGTTAAGGAACTTTATCCATCAGAATCACCCAGCTCTACCACAGTCTCTTTGCAAACCCCTTAGTTACATCATGCAGTCCTATCCTTCTGAAGATATTCAACCGGTCCCAACAGCAAGAACAACAAACAGAGGACATCTCCAATTTGCCGAAGATAAGGGTGGACTCTGGTCCTCAGGCAATAGCACTAATGTCTCCCTCTCTGTTGGTCAGGCCGTAGAAGGAGGCCTTTATGCAACTATGACTCGGCACTTTAAAGCCGAGATCGACACGAGATACGCAGACATTGTTTTGATAGTCTGCGGGTTTGTCAGCGGGCTAGTTGACGGGCTGTCCTTTAACGCATGGGGTAGCTTCTCAAGCATGCAGACAGGTACGCCATAGCAGTTGACTTGACTCGCTGAGAACAGCTTCTAATAGAGATTAGGGAATACCCTCTTCATCGCCCTCGGTGCTTCCGGCCAGCCTAGATATCCAGCTTACCTCTGGGCCAAATCTCTCATAGCCCTATGCACTTTCATTTCCAGCAACGTCATCTTCATCCAGGTAGCCAGAAGACTGAGCCCTCGCCGTCGTTCAACCATGATCCTCTCGTTCGCCACCCAGACCATCTGCCTCCTCGCTGCTGCCATCCTGGTTGAGGCCAAAGTGGTCTCCCCGAGGGCAGAAGACCCCCGGGCTCCGATTCAATGGATGCAGATTCTGCCTATTACCCTACTGGCCTTTCAGGCAGGTGGACAGATCTGTGCGTCAAGGATTCTTGCATATGATGAGATTCCTACAGTAGTTCTTACCACCTTGTTGTGTGATCTACTGGTCGACCCGGATCTGCTGGCAAAGAGGAATGCAAAGAGAAACAGACGGATTGGGGCATTCCTGGCGTTGTTCTTGGGAGCTATGACTGCAGGTGGATTGTCTAAAGTTGCTACCATGGCGAGTAGCTTGTGGTTCGCTTTTGGATTGAAGTTCACAATCACCCTTAGTTGGATCGTCTGGAGAGCTGAGGGAGGGAGCAAAGCTGGAGATATCGTCTAACTGGAGGATCAAATCTTTCTACACCCTTATGATCGTTTGCTGTTGACTTTCCATCTCATATTTTTCTGCCTCTAACACCGAGCCAACTGTTCAAGGATACTAAATTGTGACCATGTTCTTTCAATACCAATGCCACATATTATATCTCCATCCACATCACCACGTAGCCAATTCCATCTAGATACCCTTCCATTCCCCATCCAAGGACATAACACAAACCAACCCATCAACAACCCCCTACTCACTACCCCACCTACCACACTTACCCCCCTCCTCAACACAATGCAGTCCAATGCACCCATACCCTTCAAGTGAATACCCACACCAGCCCTACCCCACCCATCGCACTACCCCCACTCTCAGATTACCAAGATCAATCAGTCTAATCAAATATGATCCCCCAAACCAATAAGATCCCCTCCCTGACCGAGATGTAGAAAGAATCGCGAAAATCCACTCTTATAAGGCGACCAATAGTCACGCGTTAGGAGGGTCAGGAGCCCTAGATGGGTCTTGTATTCACTGTTAGGGGAGGATTTTGCTAGCAGTGAGGTTTTATGGTTCTTTGATTGTGTGGGTGGATGAGATGGGTGGTTCTGTCGGAGTGGATTTGGATGACTTAGGTAGTAGATGGTCAGCCGCGCGGGATGGTACTAATTCTGAGAGTATAATTAATATAATAAATCTATAGCAGGGACTAACTATATCTTCTAAGACTGTATGAGGACGTCCACCTACATACTATCCCAATTAAAGTGCTTAGTATTGATCTGAAATATACTCATCCAATATGTCATGCAGAAAAAACACAAGATCTACAGCCCCACAATCCTCTTCTACTTTCCACAAAGTATCTATCTCTAGTGCATCAATAGTCCCCTACCCATCAACCAAACTACAGTAAACCCAATACTAACAAACCAAACACTGCCCGATTCCAACAAACCAAAATTTGAGGCTGGTGAAACGCCAAGCCGGCGAAACCATTTAAATTCCAGTTGAGAAAGTGTGGAACACTAAGCAGACAGGAAACGATAGGATTTGATAGGATAAGATAGTATTAGACCCAGTGGAAACCCCTCCGCGTATCTACGTACCCCATCAACAAGGCTGAAAGGAGAAAAAAGCAATATGATTCCTTTCAGAGACCCTGCGCGGCGTAGGTCAGCACAGGATTTTTAGTGATATATTATCAGATGGAAAATATCGGAAAATACATAACTAGCTCAAATAAATGTTTACACTACACACATATTTTATTTAATCAAGGATAATGAATATGGTATGGCAACCTACGTATTCAAAACTGCCGGGTTAGTCACCGCCACGTAAAGACGTACTAAAAATACCCCACGGCCCCAGCCACGAACTAAACCCGAAGCAGCAGGAATTTACAGGGCGACGCCAAGTAGAACGCGTAGTGCTGGTCGCATGTGTGTGAGACGAGGTTATTAAATATGCGCCGGTGCCTTGCCTTCATTCTTTTCTTTTGAATATTTGTTTCTTGTCGCATACAGCCTTCATTCAAACAGTCCAACTCAAACCAACTCTCGTTAAGTTCATCGCAACCATGGCACCTCACTACATGGTCCTCGACCAACGGGCCATCGACCACCATATAATGAAGCGCGATCTCAGCGTTACACACGCCCAGGCAGTAACGTTAGGAGTGATGGCAGCGTATGTGGTTGTTATTGCGCTGCTTTGGAATTTGCCGTATGTGCGGTGGTCGTTGTGGCCGTTCAAGGTAACCCCTTCTTTCACTCTCTTTTTACCCCAAAACCACAAAGATTAATGAATGGATAGATGCTAGTAATCGCATTCCACGAATTCGGCCACGCCATAACAGCCTGCTGCACGGGCGGGCGCGTGAAATCCATCTCGCTCGACCCACACGAAGGCGGCGTCACGCACATGCAAGGAGGAATGAGCGCCGTGACATTACCTGCTGGATACCTGGGGTCGTCGATTATCGGGTCGCTGTTGATTTTCGCGGGCTTTGATATCGTCGCGAGTAAAGTCGCTAGCATTGTTCTGGGGGTGTGCTTTTTGCTCACGCTTTGGTGGGCGAGGAGGGATTGGTTGACTATCATTACGATTTTGTTGGCTGTCGGGTTGTTGGTCGCTTGTTGGTTTATTGCCCATGGGGAGGCGTTGAAGTGGGTGGTGGTAGGTTCCCTTCCTTTCTTTTGGTTACTGGGGTGTTAGGGTGGGTTGCTAACTGTGGGCATATAGTTGTTTATTGGGGTGATGTCGGCGCTTTATAGTGTTTGGGATATTGTAAGTCTTTTCTTTGTCGTGTTCGGTGTGTGCGTTTATGAGGGGGTGGTGTGCTAACTGCGTTGTATAGTGCGACGACCTTATCCTTCGCAAAGTCAACACATCCGATGCTAGCCAGTTCGCTAAGAGATACGGAGGATCTTCGCAGTGCTGGGGTGTTATCTGGTCGTTCATTTCTCTTGCATTCATTGCGATCGCGATCATTGCTGCCATTGCTGCGTTCCGTGAGTCGTTCAGTGTGCAGGAGAAGGATTCACAGCATTTCATTCCAACTCGGTGATCGACTGAGTAGGTAGCCTGATTTACGTTTTCTTCTGATGAGTTATGAAACGTGGAGTCATGATGGGTGACAGGTCTGGGGCGAGACTGAAGTTTCTCGGTTAATGTGATACCACTTTGTTTTTGTTTTGATCGTCTGCTGGCAGATAAAATGTATCAGGATTGAAGTAACTCCGGACAAATGCTAGGATTGCTTGTGCCCATGACTAACAGACTCCGTACTACGGCGGGTTACCGAAAACGGCCTCCCAGCCTGGCTACGGAGTACTGCAACACAAAGTCGGCCCATCCGTTTGCAACATACAACCAAACCAGTGTAACCAATCATTTGCTATCCACAATTCTTCGGGTACTGGTTAACTCAGAAGGAGTCGTCCTCTTCTTCTTCCACCGGATCTCGTTTCAAACGGATCTTGATCCTCTCTGTCCCCTCGGGAAGGTCCAGAGTATTGCCATCGCGATCGAAGTAAAGCCTCCAAAGACCCTTGACTGCTTTGTCATCATCCAAACCCAGATCCTCGTACTCTTGCTCCCTCCGGATATCATCTGGCAATCGTACTGCCAGCCACTGCTCGTTCCCCTCCAAAGTGACATACTGTTCGTCTTCCGTCCAATCGAAAGGACCGCACACGTTCTCCTCGCTATCCTTTCTGTTTCCATAGCTTAACTGCTTCGTCTCCTTGTCTAGATATACCCACCGCGCCAGGGGCGGCTCTTCCGGGCTCATCGAGATCAGACCGGACGAATTATCTTGTCCAAACGCTGGGTGTGTGTAGTATTGTCCATTGAATGGGGCCATGCTGGGGCTTGGTTGTTTGATGATGTAAATCTAACACGTTCAGCAAACTGTCATGCCAAAGTCTCCAAAGCTGTATGTCAAACAAACCTTGTAGTCCTTGTCAAGATACACTTTAGCATTGTGGACCTGCTGTCTTTGAGTCGGCGATCCCGTGGTTTCCTCGCAAATGGCTACCAGATGACATCGTCGTGATCGTGACTCGGCTCTGCGGTTTTCCTCCTGATCTCGAGCACCCTTCGTAGCTTCATTCAGCCCTATGATAGTGGGCACTAATGTTGACATCATAACCAATGAGAACACCATGTTGGGCAGCTTGGATTCTGATGATTTGCTGGTTATTCGAAAAGACGTAAAACTGCTATGCAAGTATCATAGACTCTTGTTGGGAACAGGTCTAGTTCTGCTGCGACTTTCATATATTCACGGTCACCCCGGTGAAGCCCGTCTGCGGAGCCCCTCACTGCATTCCATCTCCTCGGCAGTGCCGATGCGACGTTGGATGACATATTGGATGCCGCGTGTGCAACAAAGTTAAGGTGTGAATGAGTAGCACCTTCGCCGGATGCGGAAGATTTTTGCTGGAACCGGCATCATGCGGATATCCAATTCATAGGTGGATTTTTTAAGCCCACTGGTGTCCATTACATCCCATCATGTAATGCGGCGAGCCTAATCGCGGATAAAAGGGTCCTCCTGTAACTCTTAGAACATGGGTGACAGAGGTCCAGAAGACACTACAATGTAAGTTTGAAGAATTCATGTCAAGGTAGCCTTACCCTTTGCTCCCACCGTTTGTTGAGACCGCTCGTGTCATGAATAGAATAAGGACATTTGGCTAACACATCTTCACAACCTTAAAGCGAACAACCACCTGGAACGTCAAGCCCAACAGAGACTTCGCCCTCCCCTCCAAAACCACCAAAACTCAACAAGCGACGGAAGTCGAAGAAGCTTTCAAGTCCACCATTAGAAAAAGTGGATTCACCACAGGGAGACCAGCAAGGACCTGGAGAGAGTCCACCTACAGATCCAACAGCAGCCCCAGCGGATCAAGGTGGTGATCAAAGCAATTCTCAAGAACAACCACAAGATACGGGATCAAAGATGACCGACGCAGTAGGAGATGTCGGCAACTTGACAAAGGGCGTCGGCGACAAGGCCGGCGGCGTCAAGGACACCGTCAAGGAGATTACCACTGGTGGTATGAACATGAACATCGACGATCCGGATTTGCAGTGGGAGACGCCGGAGAAGAGCGGTAGCTTGCAGATTCGAGTCCGACTCAATTTGCGTGCAAAAGTGCAGCTTAATCTTGATGCGAGAGTTAAGGGTGAGGTTGTTATAGGGCTTTTGTGAAATTGTTGGTCGGTTTCAATGCTATCGAAACAGACGTTAGCCTCACCCGCACAAAGCTATACATTACATATCAATGTAATGATAATTGACGTACTGCTCAGTAGTTTCAATATGGGGTTGTAGGATGCACAGCTCTTGTATCTCACTGCTGTGGCTGGCAAACGGGCACAACAGCATTTCTGTAAGCCTGTTCGTTCCAGGCAACTATAGCACGATGGCCGAAGTGTCAAGCGCCAAATCCCAGTTTCCAATCTGACTGCAGAAGTTATCAATATTGAGGTCACTGTCAATTCCAGAGGTAAATGGAAACGGTGTGCTGTTCGGCATTTGCTGTACTTCCATATCTAACACTGTCAACTGGCCGTTTGTTGGGTCGATTATCTCATCCAAGATCCGGGACAAGATTCCATGGGCCCGCTTGCAAGATTCACCGTTGACTTCTCTTCGATTGATGCTTCTTTGAAGATTTGAGACAAACACAGCGAGGTTTTGTATAACTTCGGCTCGAGGAATCACCATAATTTCCGGATTCGAAGTGTTAAATGAAGGATGCAGGTGCTTCAATAGGTCCACTGCCAGGATACTGGCTCCTGGTAGCCCGTAATAGAGCATCTTGCGAGAAATTCAGTTGTGTATCAAACAAAAAAGACTATTAGTAGCACTTACCGGCCAAGATATATCTCGCTGCATGTTGGATACCTGATCAGAGAGCGACACTACCTGCAAGACTGTATTCAGCAGTGACCTCGAAATCCTGTACAATGGCTCCCGCGTCCACTCCGTCTCGTTCAAAAGCTTTCGATGCAATAAGAAGCAGGTGTATTTTTGATCCATGTATGTAGTCATCACAACATATCGCTGAGGAGGAGGTATGTGCTGAGATCCAGTGATTTCGTCGTACTTGAGTTCTTGTGGAATCTGGTCCCATACAGCTTCCTGTCGAGCCAGTATGTCCCTATCGAGGTTGTATTAATAATTTAGAGCTTACCGGAGAGCAAAGGGTACTCACCTTGCCAAAGCCTCATTTCCAATAGAGAGTCGAGTACCGAGACAAAGTCCAAGTATTTCCTCCCGAAACTGGCTGATAACTAGCTTTATCCGTCTCCAGGTTGCACCACGAAATTGTCGATCCATATTCCAGCCGTTCGCATCGACATTGCGTAATGCATCATCTAGTTCGTCTCCCTCTAGCAACAGTATCTCGTCGTCGATATCAGCGGGCATGGTATTGGCGCAGTAGGATCCCGAAATCCTGGGCGGGCGGCCGAGGAATGTACTGATCGTTTTGTCCATTGAATATATCTGGGCTGCGTATCTCCTTCTCAACTCAACTTGGTAGAAAGGATAGGTTGCCTCGAGTCCGGAGTCCTCCTGGTGAAGTCCGAGCGCGAAGAACATGCTTGAGACATCGCCCATGCAGCGCCATAATTGGAAGCCTATACAATCAGTATATAGTCCCTACGAACCAGTATCGAGTCTATCCGATGCCACTTACTCATGTCACCGTAGACCAGGTTCTTCAAGCAGGCATTCCCATAAAGTAACCATAATGCTTGGGGGCTAACACAACTGTAATTGTTACAAACGGCTGTGCAATAATCGACACCTTCAGCGAGTCGATGAATGAAATCCGGCTTCTGGTCAGATCGTGATGTTTCTGAGGGTTTGCTTCGTTTATTGACGTCATATTTAAGTGACACTCCAAGGATGGCAAGGACGAAGCCAATGATCTCCCATCTGATATTAGGCCCAGTGAACAAGGTGTGATAGTCCTCCGCCGGCAGAGTTGTAAAGGCATCTAAAGGCTTGGCAGTGTTTGCGAACAGAGTCACAACAAGTTGTCTCAACCGATTGCCCCTAGACCTTTGCATAGTATCTTGTATCGATTCGATACAAGCCTTGATAAATGGATGCGGCACCATGCACGTATAGGAAAGCTCGAGGTATCTGCAAATACTGTCTGCAAACCCTGGAAACTCGAACAGCAAATTCAACACCTTAGTACCCTCTGAAATCTGTTTCTCTGTGTACTTCTCCTGATAGTTTGGACAATCTGCACCAGAAGGAAACTCCTGGGCAGAGAGCTGCCCCAGATAGCGACCAACAACATTTTGATCGTCACTGATAATTGCTGGGAAGGCTGTCGAGCCGAAGAATTGAGTTTCTGCGCGAGGAACGGTCCTAGCTGTTGATGATGAAGATATGCTCTCTCTCAGTGAGTTCTCACGAGCGGGCAGGGATCTCAGGCCCGAAGAGCCCAAGGGCCGCCTTTTCGGCCGTCCAGACTTAGGCCTGTCGCGCGGTTTGGTCATCGGCGCAGGATGATAAACACAGCTATTTTCTTTCTGACGGACGACACATCTGTCGCAGACGGGAGTTTTGTGGTCGCAGCGAATCTTTGATATTCGACAAGGCTCGCACGAGCAAGGCTTTCCATTGCGTCTGGTTGAGACTGAGCGCCGAGAACTCATATTGAATACCTAAGTCAAAATGCCATGGATCCTCTTAAAAAGGGAAGAATCATCAGATTTGAGCACAGATCAAGCAGTAGAAAGAAGGCTTAATCCTTTGGACTGGAAATGATGATGCCAAGCTGTTTTACCTCAGGAGACGCAAACACACGAGCACAATCCGCAGTGCTCCACAAGTAAGAAACAGGGTAAATTCACGGTCGCCAAATACAGTGGTGGATTTAGATTGGTCACATGACAGTACCCCACTAGCAGATAAGCCTTATTTTCAGGGACAGCAAACTTTAGGGCGATGGATGCTTGTCTTGTAACAGAAAGTCCTATCCTGCAGTTTTTTCTACGTGTGAATCGGCGCATACCAGAGTACCCAAGTGCCAAGCATGATGATGTTCGTTCCTTCTGTCAGCTAGTAGATCGATTATCGTCTCCAGCGGAAGATGTGGGGGTTACCCACCGTACGCATTAATATGGAGGGAAAAGTATAAACCTTAAGACAATATCGTGATTAACCAAGAAATTAGTAATTGGAAGTCCTTCTAAGCATTATCAAACTACATCTGTATGGCCGTTATCTATTACAACGATTGAGGACTGGAAATACTGCTACGTAACGGTAATATATATTTGGCTGGGGATGTTACAGTTAGTTTTACTAAGTACTCTGAATAACAAATTAGTATGTAAGAAAACGTCACGTAATAATTTCCAGATAAATGAAATGGAGTACTTGATTAGATATGTATACAATAATCCGTTGAAAGAGTTCTCGCCTTATCCACAGTGGCAGTTGCAAGTTACTTCGGCACGTCGCCCGATTCTCAACAATTCAATGCAGCCCTCATCGCAATTTCCAACTTCTTGATGGCGTCGTCAGAAATCTGATAATGCACCACCAATCGCCCTTCTAATCGCTCTTTCTCATGCACCTTGAGTCCCAGCTCCTTTGCTACCCGTTGGAATGCTTTCTTGTCGACCTTGCCATCGTTGAGATTCATCCACATCATGTTTGTCTCCGTGGGTCTCATTAAAGACCCACCTAGGCGTTCCCACATCATAGAAACATATTTTGCTCTCTCCTGACACCGTCTCAACTTGCCCCCTAAGAACACTTCCTTGAGTGCAACGCACATGGGCGCCGAAATTATCCCTGTTTGACGCAGTCCACCACCGAGAAGCTTACGCATCCACCTCGCTCTTGTTATGAACTCTGCGTTCCCCACAATCACAGACCCGATGGGTGCTCCCAGACCCTTGGTAAAACATAATGAAACGCTGTCGAAGCACTCGCAAAATTGACCAAGAGTACCTGCGCCCGCGACAACAGCCTCCCATAGCCTTGCACCATCAAGGTGCATGTGTACCGGTGGGTCTTGAATCTTAGCCCATGCGGAAATATCTCGGATTTCGTCGAGGGGCATGATTGTTCCGAAGAGTGTGTTCTCGAGGCTTATAACGCGAGTGGGACAGTCATCTATGCACACAAGATTAGTAAACGTGTATCAACATGGAAGTCCACTCACAGATATCCTTCTTGAATATGAAGTGCTTTTTGATGTCTTCTAGCGTCAAATGATGGCCGTTTGCTGGAATGACACCGTGAATTAGAGCGCCACAAAGAGTCGCTGCTCCACCTGCCTCCATATTGAGGTTATGGCTGCGATGGTCTGCAAGGATGGAGTATGGTGGGGTGGTGAGAGCTGTCCGGAGTGCCACCTGATTGCTCATAGTGCCAGAATATGTGAGGAGCGCTCTTTCGTGGCCTGTCAATTGAGCCATCCACTCCTGGAAATAGTTAGTGGTTGGATCCTCCATCATCTCGTCGTCGAGAAGTGTTGTGTTGACGATAGTTTCGAGCATGCTCATATTCGGAGAGGTAACAAAATCAGACCGGAAGTCGTAGGCGGCTCGACCGGGTGTACTCCAATTGTTCTGTGGGAGGCCGGTATCGTGAACCTCTACTGGGTGTTCGGTCTGGCGGACAATTGTCATGGCTGCGTATGGTGGGAATTATTGCCCAGTAAAAGAAGCCTTTAAAGTTGTTTGAGAATAGTACTTAGCGAGGATAATGAGGATTTATATCGTCGCTCATTTATTATGCCGCTGTCGGGCAAAGTACGTGTCGGCTTTTTATCTTTTCGCACCAGTTTAGAGCTATTTCTTCCCGAAAGCTTCACCATAATCACGTCAGAGCCTTGAGGCCTTTTTCTATGCATGTAAGAAAAGCGACGCGTCAGATAAGAAATAATCCTGCACGTAAGAAACAGCTATGCACGTAAGAAGATCTGCGGCGTTGAAGCGGGACTCGAAGTAGCTATTTAGGTCTTCCTCCGCTGCACGGTCATACATGGCGCATCAAGGTTTGATACAATGGCCTAATATGGCTAAGCCGTGGTAAGGCACCATGCACATGTCCATAAGAGTCCGATGCGGTGCGAGCGAACTACCTTGGCCTCAGGTGAATGTCTGACAGAGTCTGAGGTTTCCGATGTCTCCATGGAGTAATAACCACACGCTCGGAGTAAACTGGGAAAGTCACCAGCTCCCCCACATTATGCTATGGCCAATAATCGGAACGCCGAAACTATAAGGGGGTTGGTAAGGCGATGACATAGTACAACAGCGAGCGAGATATCGCACTTGAAAGAGGGGTAATAGCAGTGGGGACATATATAGGGGTCGCCTGAGCAGTCAATCCTGAGGGCATATGTCACCGTTCGAATCAACGAAAGCTCCATCCTCTGCCAATTTCACATGGTAAACACAATGTCATCTCATCGGAAGGATAACATCGGCGAACTCATCGAATTCGCTCGTTCCCACTCCCCGTTTTACCAACGCGTTCTTGAACATGTTCCGGCGGGCGCCAAAAGTGTGACTGACCTTCCTGTCATCGACCCCGACGAATACTGGAAGGCGAACACGTCCAATCCCAATGGGGTAATGACACGGCCTCTGATTGACGGCACGGTCATGCGCAGTGGCGGTTCCACTGGCACTCCCAAGCAAGTTGTCATGACCAAACAAGAGCTGTCAACTCATGGCAAAGTCACCGCCAATGCGATGGCTCATGGCTGTGGCTTCCTCCCTGGCGACCGTGTTGCAAACATGTCCTTCCACGGCTCTCTGTATGGAAGTTTCATGCTCTTGAATACAGCGCTACTCGAACTTCCTATACCAATTGTGCACTTGCCTATTAGCGGAAACGAATCCATTGACATGATGGCCCACTATATGAAGAAATTTGATGCTACTGTCCTCATTGCCAACGTTTCAACCACGCGTCGTCTGGCGGAATACTTCACTTCCATTAACGAGACTCTTCCCAGTCTTCGGCTGATCTTGTACACGGGCGAATGCTTTACCAAGGAGCTCCGTCCAGTTTACCGTGCAGCCTTCCCGAACGCCACCATTTATGTCCGCGAGTATGGCGGTATCGATTTTGGACACGTGGGTATTCCAGCACAGCCCTTCAAGAATGAAGATGACGACATTAAGCCCATCTACAAAGTCTTGGCGCCCTTGGTTATCTTTGAGATCTTGGACGAGGATGGCAATCCAATCATTACACCCGGAGTCAGGGGAAACGTGGTCATCACTAGCTTGCTGAAGAGGCAGCAACCATTGCTTCGCTACCCTGTTGGTGATATTGCTCCTTGGGTTGATTACGATGCGGAAACATTCTACATCCACGGACGTGATGCTGTCAGCATTAAGATCGCCACTACACATCTACCTGTCGCCTATCTTAGAGAATTGATCGTGAGGGTCCTTGGTCAAGGGAAGGCCTCAGGAAGCCAGTTCGTTGTGCGGCTTCTGAAAGAGACCCACGAGCAGGCGCTTGTCTTGAGGATCGTCGCGCCAGAGCCAGAGAACGCATCTGTCATAGCGAATGCGTTTGAAGAAATCTTGTGCGAGGAGAGCCCTACCTGGAAGAAGAACCGGAAAGTGAAGAACATTGCGCCGTTGCAGATTGAATGGATCGAGGGCAAGGATCTGATTACGAATGCCGGCAGCGGGAAGTTACGCGACATTGTTGATGAGCGGTTTTCGAATGGAGTATGAAACGTCTACGTACAATTGTCATACTTTGCCAAGGTTGAGGGAAGTAGACCTATAACATAGCGGAATATATATATCAACAACTGTAGCGTTGCCAAAAGTACCCACAGGGATTCCTCTCTTCAGCACTCTATCGACTATAGGCTAAAATAGGCTAATAAATTATAGTGTCGCAGACCCTTGTTTCGGACGGACTAGCACCTCAACTCGAACCTTCCCACGTAGGACGGCTATGAAATGCAAATGTCCCCGTTGCTGTTGCCGAAGGTTGGATCAAGCAATGTCCGAAGCGTTTTAGCCAGTGCTTGTTTACCCTGCTCAGTATGGACCCTTAGTCCACAGTAGCCTAGACACTTGCTAACCAAAGCCACATAATCATTTTCCTATACTCCTACCCCGCTCCTGCCGATTTTTTCTGGCCCCCATCCTGAATCCTCTTTCCTCATGTCAAATTACCCGGAGAATCCTTTGGTTTTGTTCATTCAGCTGGCGTGGGCGATCATCACACCAAACTTGGATTGTGATGCGACTCCAAATACCTGCCTTGCATGGACAAAGCAAGTGGCAAATTCTCATTCAGATGACCTCTTAATGTGCCCAGAAAATCATCAGCACAAGTCTGGATCTCTTCAGATGAGATAAAATGGCGCGATTTTAGCGGCGGGTTGGACCGCCCGATCAATATACACAATATCGACGAGCCTATCCGCCGATGGTGATTAATACGACCGAATCACTAAAATGGCGACCATAGACCGGCTGCATCATGCAAGGGTCGTATGAAGCGGAGGAGCAGGGTCATCTTGCTTAGGCACGTGCTGCGGGCAGTCACCGGCGCACTAGGTATTTCCCTGTTGGTAGGAATAATCCGAAGTCTAAATTCATCAAAACTGGGCTAATATAGACTAGGTCTAGTCGAACGTTCCTCCGCTGCAATTTGCACTAACGAGAAGGGTCCTGCTTTGATAGATAGTACTTTGTCAGGATCCAACCGGGCAGACGGCAAGACTGCCAAGCGGCTGACGCGATCTTCTCAGCAAGGCGCTCAGTCTTGCCCACCACCACCAGAGTTGGTACGCAAATAGGCGTACAGGATACTAATTTTGCGGCGGGTGGGGGCTTTTTTCATGTCGCTACTGTGTCCTGACCGTCCAGACCGCTCTAGTATTGGCTGATCTAACCGGGAAAGGGATCTGGGCAAACATCTGGAATGCCCCCCAGTTTCAAATTGGGCCAATCAATGCAGCTTTCTCATAGTACTTGAGAAAACGTGCGAGAACTTCTCCCCGGTATTGCTAGGAGATAGAGATATTGAGATTCTCATTACCCACCTGCATTTATAATGGTATGCGGCTCCTTATTGAGAGATGGCTCTTATCGCCTCACATTGGTCTTTCCTGCTTTATGCTCGTCACTCTTTTGGGAATAACTACTATTTCCAAAGGAGCATGTTTGTCGGGGCTTCAGCCAGTTTTGGATTCTAGGTGTTGCTTTTGTTGGGTGGGATATTAGTTAGCTGATGGGTGTTCTGAATTTAGGATAGACTTCGGCTTAGTCCATTGCCGATCAATTGTTCAAGCCAAATAGTGGTATGGGTATATTTCATGAAGGCATATTGGCCGTTCAACGTGTATACAGACTGACCAGCTTCATCTGCGCTTTCACAGGAAGTGCGGGCGCAGAATGTGCTTTTTGTTTCACAGTGTATGATATTGTAGACGAAACTACCCTCGATTGTGTTCATATCCAGCAATCATGACGCGCACGCCCTCCAAAAGAATTGGGATTGTTTTCCCAGGTCTAATAGGATCTACAATATTCCAATACGCTAGTATGATTATGCCAAGAAGAGCAGGTTATACACCAGCTGCGTCGGGTATTTATTTCTGGGTGCTACTTCTAAGAAGGTTAATATGTAAGCTATATCGAGTCATCACGAATATCAGCAAGGCTGTACTTACCTTTTGTATTCATATAGTCTCAAAGCTCAGTAATGGCTTGCAGATTTGACTTCTATACCCTTTCAATTCTACGATGGACTCATTACTGGACCCCAATATGGCAGAGATCAGATTACAGCCATGTCCATCACAACGAAAAAGAATCCAAAACCGCATGGCACAGCGGAAATTTCGTGAGTCAATACGAATTTTTCCAATTATCAAGGATCCATCTAATATTTTGGTATCGCCCTATAGGCGAAAAGGCTAAAGCCCAGAAACAATCACATTCTCCAGACAATCAAGCCCATACCGTTGGCAATGGAAAAAGCCACGATGCACCGCCCAATCTGCCTTCACGGATAATGGACCCTGAGCCCCACGATAACGGGTATGCATACTTGACATCGGGAACCCATGTTGGACCTTTGCCTGCATTCACCTGCAGTATTCCAGGCCTCCTGGCAGACAATGTACAAGAGTCCAATCACAATACATGGGAAGATGCTATTTTCACACTGCCGGAAAGGATCGAACAATCACCATATGATTTGCAGACATCAAGCCTTGAAGAGCAATTTTTCAAGTTCGTATAGCTTCTTCCTAAACAGGATCGTGCATATATCGTTCATTATCATTTCGCTTACCACGCCTGCCCCAAAATATAGGCCTTGTCCTCCTACCAGAGCCGACTACGGTATCCTTGACCCCAATTTGGCGTTCTTCGGTAAACCACAAGACCAACAGAAAGGGCAACGTCCAGAGGAGAGGCATAGATGCAGATCTACAATTGATACCTGTCATTGTGATCGTGTGGGTATACTCTTGATCAATATATTTCTTCTGGGACTAACCACCTCATCAAGGGACATCCTAATCCACCGAAGCACGCCCACAGAATCGTTCAGTACCAAAGAGCAAAGTTATTATACCAGACCGAACAGCTTCTCGAGAAAGTTGAATCTCTATACGATGTTGGCATATCGCTTGGTGTTTTGGTAGACAATAACCACCTTCGGGATCTTATCAGGAGAGCGATAGAAGGATTTCGTTCCCAGCGGGGTTTGGAAACGTACAATCGTGCTGAGGAACACCTTGGGGTGCAATAGATTAGGGGCTTATACAGTATACGGATGTTTTCGATGATAGTTTTCTGGATTTTTTCAATCGCACTACTTAGGGGAAATGTTTCTCCTGCTTGGTTCTTGACTTCTCAGATACACTATTCCGAATCTTCGTAAAAGAAGCCAATGGGGCTTGGAGCAAGAGGTTGGCACTTTCTAAGCTACCTGAATTATCCTACTTTCTCTGGTGACATCTCAAATATGCCAAGTTCTTTTTGACTGCAATATGAGATAGCGTTTCTCAGGTTGGCTCCAGAGCGGTATCGCACCCAGTTTTTCAAAGCGTGTCGGTGCCTTCCAAAGGCATCACCTCTGGTACCTATTAAACTATCTTCCCTCAAGAAAAAGTCCAAGACCTTAAAGCAAGCGGAACCAACTTCCAAGCAATGATGTGTCCATATTAGTTAGTTATTAGTGATGCATTGGGCATTGGTGGGGTTTGCTCAAGGAATAAAACCAACCTGATCGGAATGAAAGCGTGGACGTTGAACTCCGACCATGCAATTTCATTCCGACGGAGTAAATCGATGCTCGGAGTTCATTACCCACGAACGATCAACAATGACATTGCCAGATCTACTTTTCATTCCGTCTTATTCTGCACATTAAATTTAGGGATTTAATTGAATGCTAAATATTGAAATATCACTGGAACAGAGATACCTTGCTCACGCTAACTTGTTCGACCAACGTTCATTTCCGTCTTCATTTACCCAGCTCCCTGTCGGATGTTTTTCAGGTTTTAGACGGAGAGCCGAGCGCGCAAGGAATAGATAAAAATGGGCCAAGATGAAGAAATTATCAAGCGGGAAGAGTGTGCGAGTGATGGCGGTACCGATGATAAACTTGTGAGTGTGCCAAAAACTATGTCCAGATTGAAGATATTATACTAACGACTATAAGGTCACCTGGGACGGGCCTGATGACCCAGAGAATCCAAAAAATTGGTCTACTCGTCGGAAGTGGCTAGCAGTGATCTCAATCTCTGGCTTCGTTCTGATGAGTCCGCTTCCCACTACTATTGTCTCTCCGGCGATAGACACCATCGCTGAAGAACTCAATGTCACAGTGACAGTTCAGAAGCCTATGGTTATGTCCATATTTCTCCTTGGCTATGCCATTGGGCCTATGTTCATTAGTCCCTTGTCTGAGATCTGGGGACGGACACGGGTACTGCAGTCATTCAACTTTGTGTTTCTGGTCTTCAATACTGCGTGTGGTGTGGCCAGGAGTATTGAGCAATTACTTGCCTTTCGGTTCTTTGCTGGGCTGTTTGGAAGTTGTACTGTTGGTGTAGGTTACCAATTACCCAAAGTGTTTGTTTTATGTTGATGCTTAGCTTCAAGTATAGATCGGAGCTGGGACTCTCGGAGATCTGTTTCAGGCCAAAGATCGCGGTAAGGCCATGGCAATCTACAGCATATTCCCTCTTATGGGACAAGTCCTGGGCCCTATTGCCGGGGGCTTTTTGACAGAGCGCACGTCATGGCGTTGGGCGTTCTACGCAACGTCCATCATAGACGGCTGCGTCCAGCTCTTCGGCCTCCTCTTTCTGGACGAGTCATACACGCCCGTTCTTCTACGAAGGAAAAGGGACCGCCTTACGAAAGAAGGAGCCACAGGTCTCTACACAGAACACGACTTCCCAAGCCACTCTAAGCTTGAATTGATACGGACAATCATGATCCGCCCAATCAAGCTTCTCTCAACGCAACCCATAGTGCAAGTCATGGCATTGTATCAAGGCTACCTCTACGGTAACATTTACATTCTCTATTCCTCCATCGCAGTCCTCTGGACAACTCGCTACCACGAGAAACTAGATATAGCATCACTCCACTACCTTGCACTGGGCCTAGGAACAGCCTTCGCAGCAGAAGTAGCAACCCACATCAACGACCGCATATTCCGCATTCTAACTAAACGGAATGGAGGAAAAGGTCTGCCTGAGTTCCGCATACCCATCATGATACCTGCTACTGTTGTCCTGTCTATCGGGCTGTTCTGGTACGGATGGAGTGCGGAAGCCCGTATATTCTGGCTGATGCCGGACATTGGCATTGCACTTTTCGCAGCTGCGGCGTACATATGCACAGTCTCGAATAATATCTACGTGGTGGATACTTATGGGCGATATTCCGCTAGTGCTCTTGCTGCGACATCAATGCTGCGATGTCTGGCGGGCTTTGTGTTTCCGTTGTTTTCTCCATATGCGTGAGTTTCCATCTTCCCTGCGAGCGGAGTGGCATTGCTGACAAGCACGTAGATATGAACGGATAGGGTATGGCTGGACCTCAAGCATACTGGGTATCATCGCACTGTGCATTGGCCTGACGGGTGTTATATTCATTTGGAAGTTTGGGCATGTATTAAGGAAGAAGAGCCCTTATTGTGCTAGTCGTGATGTTGATGATTGTTGAGAGTCGATGAACCCGGTTCTATTGATTCTACTCGAACAAATCGGAGTCAATGGGACAGCCTTCTAGAGTAGTTTCAACAGTGGTCTATTAAAAAAGCATTCTAGTCAGACGTTATAGAATAGAGATCTCGCTTGCAGCTCCCAACCCCAGCATATGCGAACATAATCATTCTTCTGCAGCGGACACTCCATTCACCAGCGCATGAGCTTCTTGGGTCCAGCCCAAGCATCATTCTGGCGGTGCCTATACCGCCAACCATACCATAAAATCTAAACGGGGACTCTAACAAACAAAACCAACCAATCCTTCCAATTACCCAATCCGCTGCTTGCGTCTCACCCAAACCTCCTTCTCATCATCCCCACCCTCCTTCGGATCAGACAGATCCCGCAACTGCACCTCCCAAACCTTGAGCTTGTAATTGCCCCGATCCGCCTGCCCAGAGAAAAGATCAAACGACCAATCATGCTTAGGGCACGTTATCCCCGCACTCAGCGTGATCCCAAAATCCTCAATGTCAAACAGGCTTCCCTGCGACAGTGGGAATGAGGAATGCGGACATTGCTATACCCCATCAGCATTTTATACCAATTACCGTGTCAATGATGGCTGATTAGCTAATTATTTTGACTTACATGATCAATAGCATGAACTTTCCCCTTATACTTAAACACAAGAACCTGATCCTTCAGATCCTCAAGCGGACCATCAATCTCCGCTTCAACCGGTGCGGAGCTTGAACCCGGTATGGGTGTTTTCGGAATCGTGAAAGCTTTGCATTGCGATGTTACCCGACAATCGCCATTGTTTTCCGGAGAGTCTATGTCCGGGAAGTCGGAGGTGAGGCCGATGCGCTGCCAGCCGCCTTTTCCTCCGCTTGTTTGGGATCGGGAGAAGAAGGTAAACATGGTTGGTTGGGTGGCTTGTTTGGGTATTTAGTGTGGAATATATTGCATGGAAGGAAGGGGAAATTTGATGTGCTGCATGGATTGGATCGGATCAGATATCGGAACGCAGCTCACCTGGCGGCCCATGCTATTTTCTCGCCGGACCCGTGCTAACCGCTTTGGGTGATTATATAACCTATAATGAATATAGATGTTATTTGACCAGGTCAGGTCCAGCTTTTATTTATTGATTATTATTAATTATATTATAAATGTATTCTGGACCTTTCCTTCTCTTTTTATATATTATAAGGGCTCCAAAATTATCTATCTGTTGTACTATACCTGCACTATTATGCCAATATCTAGTCAATATAGTCCCGTTGATGTAAGATAAAGTATTGTTTCTTGCAGAATAAGAATAAAAAGCCGATATTATATTATACAATGTAATGATCTACCGCTCTCTACCTTTTAGATGTTACCTTGGCTGCGCAGCTCGATCTGCTGGTCAATAACATCCCTCGTAATCTGCTCCAACGACCGCCACTGCATCCCCAATTCTGTCTCCGCCTTGGTCGTATCAACAGGCCAAGACTCTCCAGAAATATCGCTTGAAATCTTGAAGCCCAGGTGCGGGTACTCCTTCTTCACAACCTCTGCCACGTCCTTCCAAGAGGTCTTCTTCCCAGCGAGCAAGTACGAGGACCTGTCTGGGATATTGTCGGCCAAGGCCTTGACATGGGCCTCGGCAACATCGTCGACATGAACAGCAGTGATGGTGACCAGGGGTTTCCCATCAGCAACGGTGAGGAAGAAAAGGCCGTTAGTGCCACCCAGATCCTCGGCAGTGGTCTGGAGGGCGTTTCGTCCAAACACAAAGGCAGGGTGGAGAGTCACAAGGGAAAAGCTAGGATTCTCGGTCTCCTTGAAGTCCCAGCTTGCTTGATTTGCGAGAAGCTTAGATGCATGGTAGAGCTGCATGCTCGTTGCTTCATCGTTGGCACCAGTCAAGTCAGCGGTCTGATCGACTGACAAGTCCCAGTCATTGTTCTCTGTTGAATGCGGTCAATATCTGGCCAGAATACTCAAGTTAAAAGAATGCATTCAGCTCTGAGGTGCTCACCCTTGATGACCCCTCCCTCGGGACGACCCGACATAGGTATTAAAGCGGCAATTGAGGAAGTAATAACCACCTTCTTAATGCTGCTAACTTTAGCAGCCTCCTTTAGGATAGCCGTGGTGCCCATGACGGCTGGGCCGAAGTATGTCTCTGGGTTGGTTCCATGGGGCATGGGCGAGGCGACATGCAGCACATATTCGGCTCCATCTAGCTTTCCGGCAAAGGAAGATGGCTGGGTTATGTCTGGGGTGATGACAAATTCGATTCTGTCTTCATACTCAGAGAGCGCCGCCTTTAGTTTAGGAATCTGTTCTTCCTTGCGAACGCTAATGCGCAGACTATAGCCAGCTTGTAGAGTCTTGATGGCAACGGCACTGCCAATGAAGCCGGTTGCTCCAGTGACAAAGACGAGACCGGAGGACATAGTGATTTGATCAGATGTAAATGTAAGGATTTGGGAATAGCTTCTAGAGAGATAATATACCGTCGCCTAGCTGTGAAGAAATGTGTGACCGAAACAGATGTAAGATATGTGAAATAATCGAGCCAGCTTGTTGGTTGCGTCTCCGTTTCAGACCTTTTCCTCTCACAATTCGAAAACCTTTATACCTTTGAAAACGTGTTTCTGTACGGCTTACATATTCAGAAGAGGATGATTATCAACCAACGGCTGATTTGAAATGTAGAATGCAGTACACTATATTCCGAGGTACATATTCGGGGCAAATAACTAATCATGAAATCATGAAACGATTAACTTTCATTACGGGTTGCCCGCCCCTTCAAGTTAACCTTACATACAAAGCTATTACTGACTATGTGGACAACAATTCCATGTAAAGTGCGTCAATATCTTCAGAATTTGGTAAAGCAAGGGAATATTTAACTCACGATTTAAGCTTCAAAACATGGTCAAATTCTGAGGATTCGTGGAGTAGTGGAATTTTTACAATGCATTTCGACAACACACACATCTATTCTCCGGAATATAAAATTCGAACTAAAGTCTGTCACTATGCATATTAGCCTCATTATCCAAACATGTAGTATTTAAGAATCCATCCATAATTCTTTTGTAGTTTTACCCTGTGATACCGTATGCGAATATCTGCTGGAAAGCGAAAAGTGGGGCTGAGGAAGCAATTTGGGGACACTAGATGCGGGTACAGTAGTTCGGGAATATCACTAATCACTGTTGCAAATATTTCCTAGTGTTTCCATATATTTCTTATCAATACCTTAATCGCTAAGGTTTCAGCCTATGCCATAAGGGTTGTCAAAGAATATTTTGCGAATAAGTTCTAACGATTATTAATACTGCTGTGGCTTTGACTGACTCGGTGGGGGGCAAAAAATGCAACCGGGAATGTCGCATCATCACCCCGACGGTTTATGCCATCTCGAGTGTCAACTTTTGGCAAGATTGATGGAGGTTTTAATGAACATACCATTTGTAATAAAGTAGCCTATCGTTTTATACACAGTATGCATCGATACTCCGTCGACCTACTCCATGGTGATGATCAAGTGTGTCCTTCTACTTGCTCGCCCGCTGATTGGTTGATTTGTGATATTACCTACGCTTAGCTGTTCGTGCATCAAGCATCAGCTACACTGATAACCTTCTTCAGAGGTGATGGGTAGCAGAACCTAGTAGAGCATGTCAAGATCGATTGATTCAACTCATACCCTATATGTCAACCAATTATAGCGATTCTGACATGGTCCCCGGTTCCACTCTTCCACACCAAATATACCAATGCGAACAGTCGGCAGGATGAAATAATCAAGACGAACAACCATGAATCAGAAACTTAGAGTCTCCGCCACTCGCATGACGAGATCGCACCAACGTTGGGAAAAGGTCCACAATTTCATGTATGATATAGAGACTAAACCTCGGCAAGCTGGGCCCGATTAATCATCATATAAATCACTACGTAGTTAATCATCATCGAGAAAGGTCATTAGAGGAATCGAATAAATCAGGCACAGCTGCACATCCTGGGAATGGTCAAACAACCATTGTTACATCTTGTCATTAGTCCACACAGTTGGGGAATAATCAATTTCACAGAAAAGGATGAGAGAAATTCTGGTTATCGGCGGAACTGGCGCTCAAGGCCTGCCGGTCATCAAAGGTGCGTGTCATAGCAGCTTTTCACCTTGCCTTTTGGTGTATACCTGACTTGTGATAGCCCTCTCCTCGAGCGGAAATTTCTCTGTCCGAGTGCTTACTCGAGACGCAAAGTCTGCTCGGGCGCAAGAAGTTGGACAACTTCCTAATGTGTCCCTGATTGAAGGCAGACAGGATAACCAGGAAGATCTGCATAGAGCTTTCAAGGGTGTCTACGGGGCATGGGTCAACACTGATGGCTTCACCATCGGTGAGAAGAATGAGCTATTTTACGGCTGTCGAGCTTATGAAATCGCGAGGCACCACAGAGTGCAACACTATGTCTATGCTTGTGCAGACTTCGCTCTCAAGCATGCGGACTGGGATGAGAATTACCATTGGGGCCATAATGATGCGAAAGGCAGAGTTGCAGAATATATTCTAGCTCAAGGTCAGGCTGGTATGAAAAGCTCTGTGCTTACAACTGGCCCGTATATTAACATGCTCTGGGATGGCATGTTTGTCCCTACTCAAGAATCTGATGGGACATTTGTTTGGGCTAATCCCGCAAGTATGTTTCACTACCTTACCTGATATGACCTCTACTAGTGACTAACTATGACGGTACTTCGGGCACAGAATCTGGCAAAATACCTCTTATAGCTCTAGAGGACGTTGGACATTATTCTCTTTGGCTCTTTAACAATTTGCCAGAATCCGCGGGGATGAATCTCAAAATTGCAACAGATGAAGTTAGTTTTGCGGATATAGCGGCAGCCTTCACTGAGGTGACAGGGAAGAAAGGTATGCATCGGTATGTACCTCTTGAAGAGTACCTACCCACGGCAGAGCCTTTCCCAAATGCTCCAGCCAATTTTTACGCCGGTCCAAGTGCTGTGACGGATGAATCAACGATGACATGGCGCGAAAACTTCTCCGCTTGGTGGAAATACTGGGGAGAGGGCCGGGCTGAACACCGAGACTTCACCCTTCTGAATCGAATTCACCCTAATCGTATCAGTTCACTGAGTGACTGGATGAGAATGGTTAACTACGACGGGCAACGAAAGAATGTGCTGAAGGGAGTTGAGGACCTGAAAAGAGCGGCCGCAGTGATGCAGCAACAGCAAGCAGGTTCTTCGGCCTAACCTTAGGAGCTAGTAGAATCCTGCCTAAGCGTCCATCTTCAGTCATCCGTGTGGGATTTGTTCGAGGTTTCCACATTGCAAATTACTGCTTCAATGTGAGCGGGTGTGGAGGTGTATCTAATGACTCGGGTATCTCAATTTGACACATAGACATTGCTCTTTCTTGGCTTATTTAGTGTGTACTCTTTAGGTTGTCACACCAGGTGACTGTCGTACACAATCGGATATCATGGAGAAAGCGGCTAATGTTGTTTCCGCTTGGGTTTGCGTGGGGTATGTATTTTTATAGGGCTTGGTTGAGCTGTCGGATATACAAGGTGGTACAATTATTTTGAGCACTGTTGAATTGCATGAAACTAATTACACGAGGCTATTCCAATGTATTGAACCATAGTGTTCTTTTAATTCGGGTAATAAGTAGGCTGGTATGGGATAAGAGTATGTAATCATTTGGAAACCACAGCTAGTATTCTCATTCCAGGCGAAATGACAACGTAAATATCTCTTTCACGACAATCTCCTGTGTGGAGGTTCCCCTGGCATCCCAATAATCCCCAAGCACATAGACACAAGAATAGCTAGTATCAACCCGCTTAAAAAGAAGAACGAATTGAAGTCAAATTGGAGCTCGGAAAACACAATGCTAGCCTGGCACGGAGATACTGGCCCAATTGCCCACATGACCATGGCTGATTGCATCTATAATTA